GGTATTTTGTGCCTTTATAGACCTAGAAAAGGCTTATGACAGAGTGGTGAGGGATGAATTGTGGTCAACTCTGTCCATGTATGGGGTGGATAGCCACCTGATTCGGGTACTTAAATCCTTATATAAGGACTCGAGTGCCGTTGTCTGAATAAATGGGGACTACACAGAGTGGTTTAAAATTAATCGAGTTGTTAGGCAAGGCTGTGTAGCATCTCTTTGGCTGTTCAACCTATTTATGGACAGCTGTTTGAACGACCTGAAAGTAGGAGAGTCTGGATTAAGGATGAATGACACAGTGATTAAAACATTGTTGTATGCCGACGACCAGTGCTTGTTGCCTCGTCGGCCCAAGAATTACAACAAATGATCACTGCTATGAATGATGCATTTGAAAGGAAAGGTATGAAAGTAAATGTGAACAAGACGAAAGTGTTGGTGATAGAAAGAAATGAGGTGATAACAGAATGTCAGGTAATGATAGGTGATGAAAAAACCCACCGTGGGAGACAGGCGTGAAGTTATGTAAGTATGTATGTACAATTTGAAAAGGGTCTGGAGTCGACCTGATGATGGAGCCGACAGACAGTCAAAGGAACTCCTCAACGGTTTATATTAACTACCTTGTGTTTGGGCTTGATTGATTTGTATTGATGAGAACTTTACACCTAGATGGAGTAGGACTAATCATTGACGGTCTGATGATGAAGAACTGTAATTGTTAAGGGAACTCATCAACGGTTTATAGTAACTACCTTGTGTTTGGGCTTGTATAATTTGTATTATATAATAATTGTAGTTAAAATTCCAAGGTAGGTACCTAATCCTATTCATCTTATGAACATAATATTATATATACCTAGTAAATAATCAAAGTTTAGGTAAGTACCTACCCTAACGAACGATACCCAATGACTGGTTTTATGTAGGTATGTAATATAAGTAAACAAACATTACGATGTTCTTAGGTACACACCTACCTAGGATATCCGAAAGTTTAGATAGGTACGTACCGAATAATAAGATAAATGTTATAGTTAGGTATCTTATAGCTACAAGATAGATAATTATGTACATACCTACCAATTACATTTAGGGTATAGGTTGTATAAGTAGTACCTATATTGCATCTATACTCACTGACCGGTCAAAGTTTACAATGAATGGGTACAATACTTATTTTATTATAGCTAAGCATCCAGTTACTAAATATGTAGAAACATTACTTTCCTTGGAAAATGAAAAAAACGCATGTACTCATTAGTACTTATATCTCAATCCATATACTGCATTTTTACGTTTCCGCCTCATAGTTAATAGTTACACGACTATTATATAGTTATTAGATAGGTACGGTACACACAAATCATACAACGGTAGCGTAGTTTAGTTGCAGCAGTGACACGAATAAACAGGTACACAGGCGCGCGTTTTTCGCTTGCCGCTGCTCCACGCCTCGGAGTGGGGCCCCTCGCACCACACCCCGCACACTCCTAGCTTTACGTCTCGCAACGGTCAAATCTAAGTTTTTCGGTACCGTTATCGCATAAAGGTTAAATACCGGTATAGCTTTAATTTCGGTACACTTATTTTATACCGGTACCGTACCGTTATACCTTAACCGCTTTCAGTCCCTGATTCCAGACTCCGTGCTACTACTGACATTTAAAAAAAAATTCAATAATACTTTGCCCGACCCGGCAATCGAACCCGAGACCCCTTGCCCGGCAGTCGCACTTGCAACCACTCGGCCATCGAGGCAGTTTAATTAACAGTATTACTTATTTAATGAAATGCCGCGGAGAACATAGGTTACCGGGGCTCCGGTTCGAAGTGCTGGAGAAGGAACGGGGTGGTTTTTAGTCAGTAAGAGTCTGACACTCCCTCCCGCCGCACCCAGGCGGGGGCAGTCATTCGATGATTTTTTCCCCCTTAAATAAATCTCAACGAAATAATAAAAGTTACTTTGACTTGAGTGACTTGACCTTGTCAACGACTGTATTATCTAAGCAACAAGATCGATTTTTGTTTATTTACTATTTTATATACGTAGGAAGTACCTACCGTACTTCCCCGAGTGATATTAAAATATTGTTATTAAGTAGTTATTAGTATTCTATACTTGATATTCGGTATTTACCTACTTATGTATGTAAGTATTACAATCCACGAGTACCTCAAAATGCCAACGATCTTCGACATAGCAAAGCGATAGCAATCACACTTACGACCAACGAGAGTGTCTCAATAATAATCAAGTAAACAATAAAATCATTTTCAATTATACCTACTAGAAGAACCAGCAAACTTCGTTCCGTCTACAATTGTTTTTCTCGCCTTTAAACCTTCCCTGAACATTTTAAGCGTGGGAGAGCCATGCTTCGGCACGAATGGGCCGGCTCGACCGGAGTGATACCACGGCTGAGCAGAAAACCGACGTGTAACAACGCGAGCGATGTGTTTCGTCGTGTGAGTGAGGTTACCGGAAGCCCAATTACCTTCCCCTTCCCCAATTTCCCAAATCCCTGAATCCCCAACGATCCTCAAACTCCTAATCCCTAACGCCTCTGGTGTTCTAGGTGTCCATGGACGACGCCGATTGCTTACCATCAGGTGATCCGTCAGGTCGTTTACCGGCTTATGCCATAAAAAAAATATCCAAGAACATTTCAAGACCATTAAAAAATCGACTTCAAAAAACCAAAATTAAAAATCAAAAAATTGGTTCACAAATGGAGGAGTAATCGGCGAACAAACAAAAAAAACTATCAGCTGCACATAGGTAGTACCTCCTCCTCTTTTTGAAGTCGGTAAAAATTTGCGCTATCGATTCAGCTGTTCTCGAGTTTTAGTGACACAAACGAACGGCAATTCATTTTTATTTTATACTTAAAAAAAGGTAGGTAGTAACTATGATAAATTAATAATAATGTACCTACATTTTTTTACTTTTTTTAACATAACTCTTAAGTATCAAAGTGCCTTTAGTAATAATTTAAGGTGCGCATAGATACATAATTTTAATTCGAACTACAGATTATAATAATATAGGAAAAAAAATATATATTTTATTTGACTGCCGTTGGGTGAGTAGTCACAAGTTCTACTGCCAAGTAAGGTGATTCTAGTAATCTAGTTGAATTGAGATGATGACAGGGTATGAAAATTAAAAATCTAATTAGTTCGTAAGTTAGGTAATGAAAAAATATTAGACATGTATTTTTTATTTTGTCGTATAATAAATAATACTTAGATAAAACGAATCAAAGTTTAGGAGTAGGGGCTAAAACGTCATTTCTACGTATAAAATGTACATAGAAGTGACGTCACGCGACATTTCGTTTATTTCAAATCAATTTATCGTCGAAAGTATTCGTTTCTGTAAGAAAATAAAAAAATACGTGTCTAATGATTTAAAATAATCTACCAGACGGACATTAAAATAAAAATTAGGCATCTACCCTATTGTAGTTCAAGCAAACAATATCGCGAGGTATTTTCGATTTTTCGATGTGCACGTCTGCCTACCCTTTCGGGGATAAACGGCGTGATGTTATGTTATTTGTTAAAATGTATCTGGCATTGGAAGAATCGGCTCTAAATGGGACATATAACAAAACAATTATGGTTACATTATACTCTGCGTACTACCCTCATAACAAAATATTTGTTTATTGGGGGAATATATGTAAGTACTAGCTTCTGCCCGCGGCCTCGACCGTGTTCCCGTGGCATGAAATGTAACCTATGTTTTATTCCACACCATAATCTAGCCCTGTTCCAAATTTCACGCCGATCCCTTCAGCTGTTTTGACGTGAAGGAGCCACAAAGAACTTTTTACCCACTGGAATGTGGACGACGCCACTGGCAGAAGTTAGTTATCCATTAAACAAATAACATCACTAACAGTCTCTTCTATAAGGAGAGGTTTGGCATTCAGTAACTAGAGAATTGTATTGTAAACCTGATTGAAAAAGAGTAACCTATGGAGTTTCTTACTCGTTCTTCTCCATAGGAATTTGTAATTCTACACATTGGAATGAGCAAATAGCTTCACTTTTAATTTTTTTTGTTGACCTTAAAAAAGTGCCTTTCTGGTCTAATTGAAATAAATGATTTTGACTTTGACAGTCTTTGCGTTTGACGGGCACGTTAGCTATCGCAGTTTAAGTTTCAGGTTCATCAGAGAGCGTTACTGCCCAGTCTCTTTAGGGATGGTCACAAATATCGTCTACAACAACTTAATAAAATCGCAAAGCTGAATTACATTATTGCTGACCCGGGCATCGAACTTGATGTATATGACCTCGAGCTTAGCAGTCAAACTTATTATTAAATCGTGGGAAACAAAAAAAAATATATAAAAAATCTCGATAACTTAAGAAACATTGCGTAAAGAAAGTCTTATTTAAAACACCTACAAATAAATGTAATAATATACTTAATATGAATTTGACGATAACCTCTGTAACCGTATAATCATTGATTATGACCATTATTCGAACGATTTACAAAAACATCGAACTCGTTGTTTGGTTAACAAGCTCATAAATAAATTGGTTTTGTCGAACACACTACGAACGAAATTTGGCCGTAGTAACATTTTTTACACTAACTTTTTACACACGGATCTAAGAATTTAATTATTTTTCGCGTTCTATCTAGATAATAATATAGGTTTATCTATTATCTACAAGGTTTAAAAAGTTATAGTGAGTTTTTTAGACGTTTTATGCCGATTAATTGTGTTATTTTCACATTTTTTAAGCTCTAAAAATGATAAATTGATTGTCATTCACTGAAGGTATGAAGAAAACTTTTTCTAAAGACGCTTAAGTCTTTATATGAGAAGACAAAACTAGTTTTTTGGTATATTTTAAGAGACATATAGCCAAATAACATAATACTTGAAATGAAAAAAAAAACCTAAAAGTTATCTCTAGCAATCCAGGACAGGATATTCGAAAAAAAAACTTTTCAATTAATTAAAAAAGTTACCAACCTTTATGTCCAATATAATATTCTTCGAAAAATCAAAACGTTGCACTATTATAACATAATATTAAACAAAAACGAAACACAAATAGTTCTAGGAAGCCGGTTTTTTGTATTTCTTAGCTAATTTTCCTTGTAACACAAGGTCGTTAGGCGCGGCGGTCAACTCAACGCGTACTGGCCGCGGACCAACATACGTTGTTTATTTTATGTGCATAGCGCGCGATCCGCCATCTTAATTTTATACATGTCAATGGCGGACAGGTTATGACAATAGTTTTATTCATCCTATAACCTTTTTTATTAATATCTTTATGTTTTTAAGAACTTTCGTGGCTTTTTTTACAAAATTACTGGATATTTTTGAGGTGTTTTAGATTATGTTAAATATTAATTTATTTATGCTATCTAATGTGGGTAAGGCCACCATCACCAAATCAATTCGAGAGTGACTGCAGTTAATCAATGTAATTATCCTGTTTAACAATATAAGGTATACTAACTATATCTGATTGAGTTATTGCGGTTCTACTAAACTAATCTATACATAATATAGTAAAATCGTAGGAAAGTCAAAACTGTACATTGAATTTTTTAAAAGAGTAGGTACTTGTGATATGATCTACAATCGATATCGAAGCCAGAAATTTATTTTTTACAAAATCACTGATGACCTGATTGTAACTAGACAACAGAGAAGTTACAGTTGCCTAGTAATCCATAGAAAGGTAGTGAAGAAAAAAACAATTTAAAAGAAAATATTTATAAACTAGCTTCGCTGCGTAGCCTCAGTCCACTGGACGTATGTACATCGTGCATACTTAAATTATTGGATTATTGTAATTTTTTATCAGTATTTCTCAAAGTATTTATTTACGGTTTTTTAAACGACTTCCAAAAAAGGAGGAGGTTATCAATTCGGCTGAGGTTATCATTTTTTTTTATTCTTAGGCTGAATCATATAGATCAAGCAATCATACATTTTATTAGAATTTTATTGTACGGGAGTATGGGACCTTCGTAGAAGAAGACTCCGATTCGTACTTGACTGGTTTTCTTGTTGGATTTTGGTTGGAGGATGGTTGATGAAGACTATAATACCAACTACTTCTTCATTTCTGTCTGACACTGGCTATCAAGTTCATTATAAAAAAAATAGAATATTTAAATTTCGATTCTCAATCGTTTTTCCGTCAGTAAGTGACGTGCCGTTGTTGGCGAATCTCCTTTTAAAATATTACCAAAGATAGACATTTTGACCCCCTGACGAACGCTCTCAAATTATTTTCAGTTGAGTACTCTTAGATTTTATAATCTGGAACCATGCTGAGATTACAACAGGTAAACAATTACATTTTAAATTCAATAACCTCAGAATAACTATAACAGCTACAAAAACATTTGGCGCGTAAAAAAAACGTTCAGAACTGTCAAGTGTATTTGAAAAAGGAACTGTCAGATTTTTTCCTGGGTTGTTACGAACGAAGCGTTTTAAAGCTTACGTTTTATTTTATTCTTATTTTATGTATTTTGATACAATAATAAATTATGCTTGGGCCTAGAATAGCGTCGTTAACTAAACAAATTACTATGCAGCAACTGAAGCTGCTGAACCATGTTTATGGAGCGGCCTGTGACAACCAGTATCTGTTGACGACCATGCCACAGTACGCTAAGAGGATGACCATCTCTCGACGGATGAGCGACGAGACAAATTGGCATATGCTGGACGCAGAATTGCTTCGAAGTTTAGGTAAGATTTTTTTAAATTCTGTTTTGAAAAGAGTGGGATAATTACAAATTAATTAATATTATATTATACGTAGTTTAACTGTTCATATGTAACCAGGATTAATAGCTTAAAGAATATGGGTTGCAATATTGTTGTCCACTAGATGGCATTAGTGTGCAAGTCTTTTTTCGTCCAATAGGGATTTGTGTACTTGCCACTAGTCAATTTCAATACTTTTTTCGAACTATCTAAAACGACAGTTTTCTATGATTTTTTTACGAGATTGTGTATTGTGACGTCACATTTTTTTAGCGTCAAACAGCATACTTATTTCTTAAAATTTTTCTGGAAAAATAAAATCAATTTATGAAAGAGTAGGCTAGGATTCATAGGTAGGATATTACAAGACCCTAAACACACCCCAGGGGTAGACTAGGATGGATGGAGGGGATGACGAATATGTTCTACTGTACCACACAGTATGAGGAGAACCTTAAAGTAGCACATTTTTTAAATTTTACTTCAACATCAACAGCCATAACAGTCCGTCCATTTTTGGACTACACTTTTTTTAAGGGGAGATAATCATCAAATGACTTCTCCCGCCTGGGTGAGGCGGGAGGGAGTGTCAGACTCTTACCGAATAAAAACCACCCCGTTCTTAAACCTGCACTTCGAGCCGGAGCCCCGATAACCTGTTAGGTTCTCCGCAGCTCCGTATCGGCATCAGCCCTATTGGGTCTGATGGCCCTTTAAGGCTCGCGCGGTACGGTACGCCCCGTATGCTCGGGTCTGGTTCTGGTCGGGCGGCTAGCTACACTTGGAGATCGCAGTGCAAAAGTTTGTAGTTTACCGGAATGTGCTGCTCAATCTTCGTCAAATCTTTTTTCAATCGTTTCGCATCAAGCTTCCTCATGCGAACCGCTAAGGAATGGAATTCCTTGCCGAAGTCTATTTCCCGTCAAATATGACTTCTTTAAGTCCCGAGTGAACAGGTTGCTCATATTAAGTAAAAACGCGGGTTACTCACGTGAATATACTGAGAAAAGCTCTACTAGTTTCGAACCACAGAGGGGTTCTTCCTCATGAGCAGCGTGCGCGGTCGCGGCGAGTCGCACAGTTGCTCATAGGTAGGCGTGTTCCATCATCGGCCGCATCTTCACTTACTACGGCGAGATGGTGGTCAAACGTCGACCTATTAAACTGTCAAACACCAAGCGGTCACCGGTGACCGCAACCTATTGTTCTATAATTGTGTCTACAAAACCGGTACTCGACGAGTTAAGTATAAAAAAACAAACAAAATCTAAAGACCTTTAGTCGATTCTTACAACATGATATCGCCACCTAAACAATTGGGTACCTACTTGCCAAAACTGTCAAAAACGGCAGTTTTTTATGAATTATGTACGAGATTGTGTATTGTGACGTCACGTTTTTTTAGCGTCAAACAACATTTATTTCTTAAAAAAATGCTGGAAATAACTAAAATCAAATTATTTTTTAATATTTCATTTTATTAAACAGTTGAAATGATTTATTTTTGATTGAGGAAAGTACCCAATTTGCAATATAAAACATCAAAATAATAATTCCCTTACATCAAGATAAAGATAAAGATATATTTATTTGTATAAACATGTGTGGGTAACATTATACATATCAATGCAAATGCAGATGATAAAATAAACACTGTAACGTCTCAACATGTTTTGCCACAATTGGCGTACAAAATAATTATAAAATGTATAAATCTATTAAAGAGACAACTAAAGTTAAAACATATGAAACAATCAACTTATAAATTATCATTTAAAAAATCCTTAATATGGTAATAACAATGCATCACACCCATATAAATTAAAACCTCAGTTAATCAGTAACTGAGTATGAAACAACATGAATGAATGAAATTAACAACGGACAACGATGGCGATGTGTGTTGGGCTGTTCCGTTCCCAATAAAAAGGTTGACCGGACCAATTGCCGACACACACGTCATATTCGTAAACGGCCTTCTGCTGGGTCAGGTCGGCTCTCCCATCTTGTTGGTGGGCTGATTTACTAGAGCCCTCGAAATAGATATAAATAGATAATGCCTAATTATTATGTAATTTATACTTTTAGTAATATTTATAGATGTGGTTAATTGTAGTGTGTAACTAGGTACTTTTACTTTTACTTTATAAAAATTGATTAGACGTATAGTAATAAAAAATTGTATGACAAGGGCACGGACTAAGAGTCCCGTAGAGAATTAAACTGTAACATTATAAAAAAGAAATAACAACGGACTGAATTAACCGTCTGCGGCTGACGTGTAGTCCCACAGACACCGCGAAATACAAAATTACGTGTTATACCGTCATTTTTCAAATACGAGCATCACTGCTGCGAGTACCTTACTGTATAGTGCTCGCTATACTTTAATTCTACAAAAATATTTGCTGTTGAAATGGTGTCTGGTATATTACCACCTCAGTTGAATTGTAACAATTTAACCACGTCAGTTGCAGAGGGTTAAAAGACATAATTTGTGCTCAGTTAACACATTATAACATTTCTGCGTAGCCCCTCAGTGGGCCGCGGAGGACTTAACGGGTTGCCGGGGCTCCGGCTCGAAGGGCAGGAGTAGGAACGGGGTGGTTTTGACTCAGTAAGGGCCGAAACGCATAACCGCGTTGTGTCGCCGCAACGCTAAAATCGGCAGTTCCAGCATAGCAGAGTTAATAACAAATAAGCAATGTAGTAGCAAATAGTTTGCAGTTCGCACTCGACCTTAAAATTTATGTACAGTAATAAATTCTATAGTTTTCTAGGACCCTACTTATATAATAGGCTAAATAAGCAACTTTGTATTTACAACTTGAATTGCTATCAATGCAAAAAACGTGTCAGCACATATTTGCAACAACTGACTTATGACCAGACCAAATTTTTGCTGACTGTATGTAAATAAAATTAGAAACAAGTTAATTTATTAAGTGATTAGGTATACATTTCTATATATAGGTATAATTTGAGTAATCAAATAATCTATATATATAAAAGAAAGTGGTGTTAGTTACACCACATAAAACTCAAGAACGGCTGAACAGATTTAGCTAAAAATTGGTATGGAGGTAGCTTAGAGCCAGGAGACGGACATAAGATACTTTTTATCCCGATCGAAAAAAAAAAGTTTAAGTTTAGTTTTAGTTTCCGGGAAAAACAGGATTGCGCGTACGAAGTCGCGGGCAGAAGCTAGTTTAATATAATAATGATTATATAATTATTGTTAATTAGACCTTAAGTTCTCTATGCTAAGCGGTTTTTATTGCCTGAGGTACAGGTTTCAAACCTAGTTCAGGCACATGGAATAACATAGCAATAAGAATATAGAATTAGGACATACGAAATTTGTTTATATTTTTCTTTTGAATAAATTATTTATTTATTTATTTAATAAGTTTTTCATGATGATCCATGGCAGAGTCACGTCTATTCACAATAAAAAATCACGACGAATTGGTTACCCTACCGAAGGACAGCAAAACGCTCTTTTTCACGACGCCGCAACGTGTTTCGGCCATAAGAGTCTGACACTCCCTCACGCCTCACCCAGGCGGGAGAAGTCATTCGATGATGTTCCCCCCTTAAAAAAACCCTCAATGGACAATAGGAAATATTGAATGTTGTTCTTGTGACTCTATAATAGTTAATACTCCTTTTTGTAATTCATGTAACTTCGCCCGCATCCTTTACAATGGCTTCTTTCGGTCTACAGTTGGGGGGTCAGCATTGGCCTGCAATGGTGTCATTCCGCTCCCGATGGACAGACTGCGGCGGAAAGCCAGAGCTCGTACCAAAAGGTGTACTGGATGCGGGCAGATCATGGAAAAACACAATGACACCACAAAATCTTCTAGTTTATTAGCAAAATCTGGTTAGTCGCTACTGATTACTTTGGTAGCTATCAATCTGAACATATTATCATAACCCGTTTATCCCCGAAGGGGTAGGCAGAGGTGTACATTATGCCACTGTACAATATAACACCCACTTTTCACTATTTATGTTATGAGTCCCATTTAATAGGGGGTGAGCCTATTGCCATATACCGGGCACAGTTCCAGACTCCGTGTTACTACTGTGAATTTTTTGAAAAGCCCAGTAATACTTTGTTCAACCCGGGAATCGAACCCGATACCCCTTGCCCGGCAGTCGCACTTGCGACCACTCAGCTAATGAGGCAGTCAATATCTATCAAGCTATCAGACTGCTATTATTTTAAATTAAGTAAAAACGCGGGTTACTCACGTGAATATACTGAGAAAAGCTCTACTAGTTTCGAACCAAGCGGCGACGTCGCCGCGACCGCGCACGCTGCTCATGAGGAAGAACCCCTCTGTGGTTCGAAACTAGTAGAGCTTTTCTCAGTATATTCACGTGAGTAACCCGCGTTTTTACTCAATTTAGTATGTCTCACGATAGTTATTATAAAAACATGCTATTATTTTATTTTATATCTAACTGTAGGACTTGTAGTACTTAATTATAAGTTAGAAATTCCCTATCCGCTTTGAATAACAATGGTGATCAATACTCGGAACAAACAAAAACCGCAGTAGATTTGAACTGGTGGTGATTAGCCTCATAACTTCTTTCTTCTAGCGGCATAAGGCCTTTGTTCAGCAATGGGACTTTATTCTCTATTAAGATTATAAAAAAATAATAATAATTGGGTAGTTTCCAGTGTAAGAAAATTAAAAATCTAATTAGCCTGTCAGTTAGATAATGAAAAAATATTAGACACGTATTTCTTTATTTTCTCGTAATGAGTTACACTTAGATAAAATGGAGTTAAGTTTAGGAGTGGGAGGTAGTTACGTCACAACGTGCTACATTTTGTTGCACGCTGTGACGTCACTCGACATTTCAAATCAATATATCGTCGAAAGCATTTAATTTTGTGAGAAAAGAAGAAATACGTGTCTAATGTTTTAAAATGATCTACCAGACGGACATTAAAATAAAATCTAGGAAACTAGCCAATTGCTTAAATATCAAGAAATGATGTCCACTTATTAACAACTTGCCATCAATATTAATTTAAATAAATAGAAAACTAACGTTTTTCACACAATGGCTGTTAGATGACGAAGACCATGTCTGTGAGGAGTGTCGGTCTCCGATGCACGCGCCACCTATTCACCCTGGCATGCGCAAAAGGAAAGATAAGCGAAAAGCTCCCCATCCCACCCCAGTCCCGACTCAGACCAATCGGAGTACGCATCTCTTTTCTTTTAAAATTTATTTATTACAATTAGGCAATTTCAAAACAAAAGTTTGTCTTCAAGGAGGCTTCTAAAGCCCTGGAGCTGCGGAAAACCGTACAGGTTGCCGTGGCTCTGATTCTAATTAAGAGTAGAAACAGGGTGGTTGTTAGTCAGCAAGAGTCTGACACTCTCGCCCAAGGCGGGACGAAGTGGTGACTTGATTTATCCCCCTCAAAAAAGGGTACTTCTATTTTTCTACAACAGGGGTGATACTTACTTATATGTATACAAAAGGGGGTTTAACATCTTTGCTAAGCTTTAGGACTTAGAAAAAATAGCATATTTTGTATTAAAAATCAATTTCTTTAGTCCTGCTGTACATATGAACAGTATTAGACATATATGCCCGAATATTAAAACGCTACTCAATTTAAGTATGGGTTCTGTCTCTACGAACTCTTTATAAAATGACAGAGATGGCACGATATTGAGTACAAGTTAAAATTGAGTAGCCTTTCAATATTCGGGCGTTAGTTGGTTCCTAGTCAAATAACTCAACTTAGTTTAGTAGTTTGGTAAATGAACAGACAGATACCTGACGGTAAGCGCAGCACATGCTCACACTCGCACTGATTTGCGACTGTGCCAATTTTGCTTTGACATTGGTGTGTGTATGTCCGCCAAGTCGTACATCAGTAGTCGCGGAGAACCTAACGGGTAACCGGGGCTCCGACTCGATGTGCAGGAGAAGGAACGGTGTGATTTTTAGTCAGTAAGAGTCTGACACTCCCTCCCGTCTCACCCAGGCGGGAGCAGTCATTCGATGATTTTCCCCCCTTAAAAAAAACGCGAACATAACAACTAATGCCAAGGCGAGATTGACGGAGTGTCGTGAGCATGTGCGGCACCCCTAAACAATAAGCATCGTCCATGGATACCAGCAACACTAAAGGCCAATTTTTCAATGCTCAGATAAATATTAATCGAGGAATTTAATCAACTTTCAATATTTGTGAGTTCTTCCATACTAAAAACGATCAAATGTCAATAAATAGTCGGCCCTTAATGAGTTACCAAGTGCCAAGTTTGCCGTCTTTTTGGGAAATTGTGCCTCCGGTAACTGCACTGTCTGCAGTGAAGGGCTAAACACGACGCAGTATTATTTAACATCGGTTTTCTGTAAACTGTACCTTTAGCCATACGCCACTTTAGCGCTTGTCTACCGAGAGAGTAGAAAACTAAATGTATGGGGATGACACTGACAAGTATCAAAATTTACGTCAATTCCATATAATTTGGTTTTCTACTTTACAAGTAGACAAGCGCTAAATGGCATTTGGCTACAGCTGCTGGTGTTTTGTTCTGTCATGTCTTATGCTAAAACTCTATCTTCTTTAGTGGTCAATCTTTGACTACTAAAGAAGAGAGAAGAGAAGCATAGAAAAGTCGTTAGTTTAGCGATAGTATCTACTTAGTTTGGTTCGCACTCTGCAAATCCTATTCCCATTGCTTAAGCCTACAAGGACTGCTTCAGCAGTTACCCAGTGATAAACATAAGCATACAATATACTCTTGCAGACAGAGTCTATAGCTTGAAGCTGCTATTGATAACTGCTAAAGTAGTTAGCTGAACTGGTCGAGCAGTTAGCAATATCAATGATAATTAGCAGTATGGATTTTGAGGAGGAATTGGACGGATTGGAGGTCGAGAGCAGTCGACAGCTGGAACAGTCAGTGAATACATAATGACTGCTTGACTGCATGATGACATGTCAACCGCCCGAACCAGTTGCAACTGCTCGAGCAGTCTGTATACAGGGTGATTTGTGTTTCGACCATAATCTGTAAAAGTGCACAAGTCTCGTAGTAATTTTTATGTTAGAGAAGCATATTTCTGAGTCAAACTTGAAAAAAAATCTAATATTCTATGAGTTTGGGATGACTCCGTCTAAAATAATTTGATGCATGTATTTGATGATTAGAACTGGTAAATAAACTAATAAAGTTAGATATTGTAAAAAAGAAAATTAGGTCAAGGGTCATACGTTTCTTTTTTTTTCAGCTTTAGAGGTAGCGCGGACGTCACTTTGAAATGAATACTAAAAGTTAAATATTTGAATTACCGTTCATTTCCAACTATACTTTTGTCCGACAAAAATGTTGGAAACGATTTGTTCTACAACTCTACGAGATTGTGGTCGAATTACAAATCATCCTGTAGGTATATGCGTACGTAGAAGTCTGTAGTTCACTATGCAGTCGCAGCTTGAAGCAGACGATCCTGACTGCTTCAAGTGGTCCGTATATGGCAGGCCTTTTACTTTAAGTTAATTAATTACCCATACTACAGCAAAACTCCTCTTTCAGAACCAGAAACGGGTGAACCCAGTATTTTAGACTGGCGTGACCCTTTGACCACGAGGGTCCAACTCGCAAACCCTCCTGAAGAGACAGATGCTGACTTCCAAGGACATAACATCTCCACGACGTAGAAACTGTACCGATAATACTGAAAATCGAAAAAATATATTAATAATCTGTGGAACTTGCACGGTAACTTAGTTTAAATAGTATTTAGTTTTAATCTAATCTGCAAATGGACAAAAGTCTTTAACATTGCGCAGCGGATTAGCAAGCTGAAGTGGCAATCGGCGAGGCACTTAACCACTTACAACCGTCTACAACCATCTGAATCTAAAACCTACGTATTTGGATCGATTATTGACATTATTTTCTATGGATTTATATCAAAAAGTTGATCCTTATCCACAGATTTTGAGTTCAATAACATTATTTCATTTCGGCTGAAAAAGACGTAGAAGATCCCCTTTAACATATCAGGCTTCTGAATTCCATTTTCAGCTCTTTGTATCCATAGAAACATACTTTGAGGATATCGTCACTTCACCTATACGAAGGGGTGTCCTTCATTACTTTTGATCAGGCTTGATCCATTCCAGAACACGTAGAAGTGGTACTTGTCCATGGCTAATTGTTATTGCTAACTCGTATAAAATCTTTACTGATACTATGTCTTATGATAATATAAATGACTTTTTATTTAATGAAGTTCCCGTGCACGTCCACAATAGATAATCTAAATGTGAATTTGAAATCTAAGCTATTTATTAATTGTTGTCAATCTGAATTCTAGTATTTTGAACAGCTTTCAGAACTGTCAGCATTATTTTTTATTAGGAGTTGTTTGTAATTCGGACTTGAGCTTATGAACCTTAGCGTGACATTTTTGTATGATTTGGTAACCTTTTGAAATGTCTAATTAGCTTCTTGAGCCCTAAAGGTGTAGTATTGTCTAGTCATTTAAGTGTGGAAGAGTCATGCTTCGGTACGAAGCATGTTCGGGCCGGTTCCACCGGAGTGATACAACGGCCTCACAGAAAACCGACGTGAAACAACGCTTGCGTTGTATTTCGTCGTGTCAGTGAGGTTACCCGAACCCAATTACCCCCCTCCCCCTTCCCCAATCCCTGAATATCCAACAATCCTCAAATTCCTAATCCCTAAAAAGCCGGTAACTCACTTGTAACGCCTCTGGTGTTTCAGTGACGCCGATTGCTTACCATCAGGCGATCCGTCTACTCGTTTACCAGCTTATTTCATAAAAAAGGCGCTAACATACTTGCAAGATTAGGTATATGGTATTCTTTGTTAACCTTTTACAATTTCTCTCATCTGGTCTTGGTAATACTACTATTGGGGATTCCATTTTGACATTGAGGGTTAAGGTTATTAGAAGCAGATGCTACAGGACAGAGGTGACAAGTAAACATCTCTTTTATGATCCAACCTTTCATAATCTTTTAGCTTCACATCTTTGTCCTTTTATGAAGAGCAGCTTGATATTTGGTTCAAGGTCAAGTTGAGCATTCTCCTAAATTTAGGTCAATTGTCCACCCCGTACTTGTGCTACCTCTGGTGTCGCAGGTGTACTTGGCTACGGTGTCCCCTTATCATCAGGCAGGCCACGAGCTTTGTTGCGAACAATAGTTGTATTAAAATGCTATTTTCGTCTTTTTGTCGAAATAAGGACGTGTAAAATGGAGTTTAATTATTATAAACCGATTGTAACGATTATCCATTTTTCGGTTGTGAAATTGTCTACTTCGGTGATCTAGCGTTCTTATTTTGAGTTAAAGCTAACAATGGATACTATCTATTAGTAGCTACAAAGTTTGCATCCCGCCTGGTGGTAAGCGGACGCCATGATAACCTATGGACTATGGGCGTCCTTTACACTGGATATCTTGACTTACTTAAGGTCCTATGTCCCCCTGGTGGGGCAGAGGGCGTCCAGAAAAGTCTCCATCTCGATCGGTCATGAAGTTTCCGCTCCACCTCGCTCTGCGCCACCAGGTTTGCCAAGGACGGCCACGCTTCCTTTTCCATTCCACGACTTTGGAATGTAGTTGGTACCCTTTTGGAGAGTGTGGCCAATCCATCCCCATTTAAGGCGTTTGATTTGGCAATCACAGTTTATAAAGGTTCACGTTTATCAGAGAATGCTGTTGCCTGATCTCTGTCATATGCCCCTTATGCTTTGTTCGTATTATGCTATAATTTTAGTCGAGTAGTGACTATTTAGTAGTTCTCCCTCGCTTCTGTTCCAATTGAAAGTGCTACGCTTATTTTTTTAGTCGAGTAGCGTAGTAACTAAATGTGTCAATACCTAATGCCTTGTTCGCGCGACGCGATAATTTAGTCGAGTAACGAATGTTTAATAGTTCTCTCTCGTTTCTGTTTCAAAATCAAAGCGGGAGAAAACTACTAACGAGTCGCAACTCGACTAAAATACTAGTGTATTGTGATCAAAAGGCATAACATTTAGTAGTTTAGTTAAGTGCGGACGGTTTTTGGACAGTAGCGAGAGAGAGAGCTACTAATTAGTCGCTACTCGACTAATTTAATAATACTAATTTAATTTTAGCGTAGTGTGAACTGCGAACTAGGCTTATTAATGCCTTAGCGCCATATCTTTCCAAAGTGGCTTTCTGGCTCCATCGGAGTGATACCGCGGCCGAGCAGAAAACCGACGCGAAACAACGCTAGCGTGGTGTTTCGTCGTGTGAGTGAGGTTACCGATGGCCCAACTATCTCCCCCCTTTCCTAATCTCCCTCCTTCCCTAATCCCTCCCCTTCCCTTATCTCCCCCCTTCCCTTATCTCCCAATCCCTAAATTCTTAATTTGCAAAAGGCCGGTAACGCACTTGTAACGCCTCTTGTGTTTCAGTGACGCTGATTGCTGGTAATCAGGTGATCCGTCTGCTCGTTTACCGGCTTGTCCTATAAAAAATACTCAAAATACTTTAATGGCTACTCAACCCAGTCTTTAACAATTGTTTTCAGAGCAAAATCATTGCTAAGGAATTGTTTAAGTAATCATTAAACTGTCAAACACCGCGAAGACACCGGTGACCGCAACCTATTGTTCTTTAATTGTGGCTATAATGACGGTACTCAACGAGTTAAATGTTTCTATGTACCGTAAAAGGGGGTGAATAGAATTCGAAGGGTCCCAACATTTATTCACCCTTCTTCTGTATTTATTCACCCCTCGAATTCTATTCACCCCGTTTTACCGTTACGGCAGTTAGCTCTTAGACTACTTCTACATCCAAGATATGAAAAGGGATGGCGACACATGTATTGTACCCTTGTCACATGGCTAACAACTTGCTCTTATTAAGACATCATGGCGGTGCAACTATTTGCGCCATTGTAACGGCCGGACTGGCGGCTGAGTACCACAGCGCTATAGTAATTAGTGGTGACGCAACCAGCGTAGATGAGCGACCAGTAAGAAGACTCTTTGCTGGTGTCCAGACTGGCCGCGCCGCCAGACTGCGCATGCAAGCCGACACTACGAGAGTAACTATCTTTTGAGCAATATACATTTTGACTGGTTGCGTCACCATGGTGTCTCGGTGAAATATAATAGTCCTTAGATCTTTTACTAGGTACTAATTCATATGAAAATTTCACTTCTGTATGGTAAGCTCAAGCTCCTATTTTATAACATCGATATTATGTATTGAATTTTGGCTATAATAATATAAGAGTTATTAATTTATTGAACGTTAAGAAAGGAACCTATTTAATTGAAATTGAAAGTAAATATTGTAAAAAATGTTTGTGTTTTATTTTCAACATTGCTTTTATTGCAACACAACTTTTAGTAATGTAATTTTTACATCTTAAGGCTCGTACACAAAACTGCGATGCGATGCGAATTCGCAACGCAAAAAGTTACGATGCCAGTTGCTGCGATGCGATTTCGTGCGACAAGGCGTCTCCCAGGATGATCATTCCTTCGACGGCCCGTCAACCGTAATTTAAATTGAAAACTAGGTCGTGACATGGATCGTAAAACGAAGTGTACACTTCTGTTATTACTTAGGAGATACAGAAAAAGAAACAAAGAAGATTTTGGTAAGATAAGATTTTGATGCGCGATGCGAATCAATTCGCAAGTTCTTGTGATGCGTAGAGGGAGCTCGCACATTTTTGCGATGCGACGTCGCAGAGCAGTATTGTGTACGAGCCATTATTTCGGCCATAATTATGTACTTGAGTTATATGTAGGTACTTTCTAAGGTTATCTAGACACCACTTACAAACGGTGAAGGAAAACATCGTGAGGAAACCTGGGATTATGATTTCTAATTATAAGTTTGTATTGAGCAAGCGTGGTGATTAATGCTCAAACCTTCTCCGTGTGATAAGAGGCTTTGCTCAGCAGTGGGCATTTATAGGCTGTTGATGATGAATATCACCTTTAGGGATAATACCTACGGCTCTGACCCAGAGATATCGAATCCGCATACATAAGGTACTGGGTACACATAGCTACCCATTCAGCTCATACAACATGTTCTAACAATCAATTAGGAGCACCACAAACGACCAATTAGCACTCAAAACAATAAAAATTCACAATCTAGGTCTAACGATTAATTTAGCAGCTAAATCTTATCTAGATGGAATTGTTTTATACACCTGGTAGGCAGTAGGTCTTAGGCGAAAGGGAGGAGAGGACCTAAGGAAACATGCTGGGAATCCTGACGTTTTTTGTGGTGAGTACCTATCTCCAATTTTTTCTCCTCCCCAAACAAAAAAGGAAAAGGTTCTCAGTTTGACCTGTATCTTATCTTATACTATTATATAAAGCGGAAGAGTTTGTTTTTTTGTTTGAACCCGCTAATCTCCGTAACTACAAGTCTGGTTTGAATAATTCTTTTTGTGTTGGATAGAGCATTTATCGAGGATGGCTATAGGCTATAAAACATTACGCTACGGCCAATAGGAGCTGAGCAGAGCGTGTGAAACCGCGCGGAAGTAACTAGTGTATTATAAATATGTTGTTTGTATTTTTATACACGATTACCTCGCGATTTGCTGGGGTTCCTTAAAAGTGTGTACAAACGGACATTAGTCTCCTAAACAGTTTTTAATTTTCCGATATTTTTCAGATTTCTTTCGTTTTGGCATCAGTTCCTTCAAGTCGTGGTAATCTGCTCTTCGATAGTCCAAATGTAAGTATAATTTATAACTGGCTGTAGCCCGCGACTTCATCCGCGTAGAATATATTTCAAAATAACTTTATTGTTATAATTTTCCAAAATAAAAGTAACCTATATTACTCATTAGTACATCAGCTAATGAAAGTCTTGCAAAATCGGTCCAGATATTCCAGAGAACAATAATTATAAAAAACTGTTACATATTCTGGTATTTTAATATTGTAAACAGACACTACAATTTTATTTATCTGTATAGATGTAGATAGGTCAAGCCTTTTTTTGTTTTGAAGGCGGAAAGTCATCCAATGACTTCTCCCGCCTTGAGTTAGGCGAGAGTGTCAAACTGTTACTGACTAAAATCCACCCCGTTCCTACTCCTGCTCTTCGAGCTGGAGCCCCGGTAACCTGTTAGGCTTTCCGTGGCTCCATATCGGGCATCAGTCCTACTGGGCTCCCATCTATGGCGGTGTGAAGGCCGTACGCACGTACGGTCTGGGTCTAATCGGGCGGCGAGGTACCCTTCCCGTCCGTGGTGATGAAATCGGTACTTCATTTAGGGAGAGCCATGCTTCGGCACGAATGGGCCGGCTCGACCCGAGTGATACCACGGCCCCACAGAAAACCGACGTGAAGCAGCGCTTGCGTTGTGTTTCGTCGTGTGAGTGAGGTTTCCGAAGGCCCAATTACCCTCCCTTTCCCCAATCTCCCCAATTCCTGAATCCCCAACGATCCTCAAACTCCTAATCCCCAAAAGGCCGGTAACGTATTTGTAATTTTGTAACGCCTCCGGTGTTCCAATTGTCCAAGGGCGACGCCGATTGCTTTGATGGTAAGCAATCGGCGTCGCCCTTGGACAATTGGGTGATCCGTCTGCTCGTTTACCGGCTTATGCCATAAAAATATATATATATATATATTTTCTTAACATAATATTTTTAGGTAGATACATAAACCTTATCCTTTTGTTACCAGGTGGTAAGTAGGACCATGAAAGCGCCTGCTGGCGTAAGGCGTGTTCATTTTCACAGAGATGCCAAGTCGAAGGTATTGTTAAGATACTAGATAACAGGTTGATCTCGTAGGTATACCTATGTACAGGAACCTGCTGGATGCAGGTCTATTCTAACTGGTTGATCTGGAAGCCATTGGGGAAGGCCTATGTGAGTGGGTGTCTTGTAGCTGATATGATGATGAAACGCAGTCATCATACAAGAGATAGTCACCTGTGACTCCTCTGGTGTTGCGAGTGTCCATTGCGCCCGGCGCTTGCTTACCATCAGATGGATCAGTCTGATCGTTTGCCTCCTATTCCATAAAAAGAGGTGGTTCTACTTACAGGAGAATCAGTTTTATTTTTTTAAACTTTTTCAGTTAAAAGATGACTTCTATGACCAGCCCGTTAACCTGATGAATAAGAAGTCCCCACACGATAAGGTCAGTTTGAGAACCACATGTATAAACGTTAGTAGTAAGTATAACCTGCAAGCCTATATTTATGTATGCGCAGTAGCGCGACGTGTCATTCGTTGCTCGATCTTTATGGTGAATACACTACGTGAGTTTAAATATATTATACCTCTAAATATATACAAGTGCTTTCATTTATCATCTGACACATACTACAACACCTAAACTTTCATTAACTATATAATAAGGTAAACAAAGAAATATACATATACACTAAACAACTACACGAATGTAAGAAATTGCTAATCGAATGGATAAAAAATCTAACATACGAAAGTACGGAAGCCCTGCTGCAACACGTAAAATAACCATCCCTCACACACCCTCGCAGATACACCACGACACACACGCCACACACACAGATACGCGCATCTCACACACACATACACCCCACACTCACATACACCCCTTACACATAACTCTATTTATATAAGCCAATAAACTGGTAATTGTAAAAACCAAAAACTTTTGAAATATTGTTATGTTATGGAAGAGCGGAGTCTCCTAATACAGGCATTATTTACCTAAAAGGAGGCTCCAATCACAATCTATTGTTAAAAAATATTTGGTTCAGAAATAAAAAAATTTGTATTTGTATTGTATTTATTAACTATTTCAATTAAAGTTTCTAACCGAAAACTCAGTGATGATTGCCGTTATACCTCTAAATAGGAGTTAATCGAAATACTCATTCGATGGGAGAGCCATGCTTCGGCACGAATGGGCCGGCTCGACCGGAGTGATACCACGGTCTCACAGAATACCAACGTGAAACAAATCTTCCGTTGTGTTTCGTGATGTAAGTGAGGTTACCGGAGACCCAATTATCCCCCAACTCCCCAATCTCCACAATACCTGAATCACCAACAATCATCAAATTCCTAAACCCCAAAAGGCCCGTAACGCACTTGTAACGCCTCTGGTGTTGTTGTCCATGAGCGACGCCGATTGCTTACCATCTGGTGATCCGTCTGCTCGTTTACCGGCTTATGCCATAAAAAATACACTTGGGAGTAAAAAAGGAAGCCATTAAAGTTTTTCCTTTTTCATTTCTTGATATATATTATGTAACACAAGTATGTCGGAGGAAATGCACCCATTGGGGGTACTTCGTCATCGGATTCTTCGTAAACGCGGTAAGTTCGGTACGAGCTGGCAGAACAACCGCTCACCCTCGTGTCCAACTCAAAAGTGACGCCTTTCAAATGCCAACATGCCACGCCCCGTACCGACCATCACCCGAGCACACTGCTTGACGTTTCCGACAAATGATAACAGATGGCGTTGTTCTCAAATAACGATACTCGATAGCTGTGCATCTTTGTTGATTCTGCGACAAGTATATTATTAACGTATGTCGTGAAGCAGGATTATTTTCAGCACTTCTCATTGTAATTTCTTTCGCAGGATGAGCCCTCCGATGTTCGAGGAGAAACGAAAGCTGATCCCTGGTCTCCGTTCGACTTCTCCAAGTTCGACAGCTACCTGAATAACTACAAGGACAAGGAGGATATATCACCAGAACATAATCGCATTAGGAGGCGAGCCAGGGTCAGTATAGCATAACATTACACCTTTTATCCCCGAAGGGGGTAGGCAGAAGTGCACATTATGCCCCTGTACAATGCAACACCCACTTTTCACTAATTATGTTATGATTCCCATGTAATAGAGGATGAGCCTATTGTCATATACCGGGTACAATTCCAGACTCCGTGCTACTATTGACATTTTTTTTTAAACCCAGAAATACTTTGATCAACTCGGGAATTGAACCCGAGACCCCTTGCCCGGTAGTCGCACTTGCGACCAGTCGGCCAACGAGGTAGTCATCAAGCCGTACCACTTGGCAAACAAGAGTTTATAATAGTTGAGGTCACTGATATCTATTGCAACCTGGTACGCTACGACTCAATCAATTTGGATACTATCGATTTTAATAAGAGGATTTTCGGTTGATTTTTTATTCAAGGGATATGGTCCAAATTGGGTGATTCAGTCCAAGGCCACACCGCGTCGTCGTCTTTTTTACCAACCTCTATACCAAATTACTGTAGGTCATTTCAAGACTTTGTGCTATTACGAACAAAGCATTCCAAGTGAATAGAGTTTTGTCTCATACAGGAATTTAACTTATGATGTTGTGTTTTGTAGCCATGCCAGTATATGGTCAGAGAATTTTAATACATTTAAACCAAATTTTATATTTTGGCAGTGATTAAGATACATTCGCGAGTTTTGGTATTATCAACGTTTAATAACTGCAATCTTGGCTGCTATTTTTTGTAAATAAGATTTTTTATCGGACTTCAATCAGTGATTAGTGTTCAACAAGCTAGTGAAATTACGCGAAAAACTGTGAACTCATCTTGAAAGTGAAACAGATAAGCAACTATTTTTCTCTTTCATAAAACCGAAATGAGCAAAATTGCCCCAAGTATTTCATCCGGATCTTAGCCCAACCCAAACTGACAAGACCATTTTTCTGCCGCAGAACGTGAGGAAATTCAGTACACTGCTGGGTCCACAACTGCGAGAGAGGCCTCACCACTACACCTACCCAGAACCAGTCAAAGACCGTATCATGGAGTTTTCGACTTCAACCAAAAAACCAGGCATCATGCCCGACCAGATGAACCCCGGCGTAATATTTAGAGTTCGGATGTCGGACGCTATTTTGCGGATCAAGCAGCGAATGTACGAAGACCCCGAAAGACATATAGAAGCTGACATAATCTACACTAACCTGATTAAAAAGGTTGTTATGGATGAGATAACAAAGTTCCACAACCTTCTTCTAATGTACAAAACGGATAAGAGTATTAAAGAACATTTGGGAGAATGCGGTGGAAGAATCTACAAGTTTATCAGCTACATGACCATAAAGGTGCATATCTATTGTCTTTTCGACGCTTTATGGATTGATGGCAACCCGTACGTGATTGGTGATGAGTATTCCGTGACTCCTGTGGAAGTGCCTCCTATGTTGCAGTGTGATGCAGCTGAATGTAATTCCATTGTGTTCGTCGATTCTATCACTGAACCTAAGGATGTTGAGGAGTAAATTGCAGTAAATAAAGGAATTGATTGTGATGTGTTTTTCTTTCATTTTTTGTTTTTTAATTTTATAGTTTAAGCTCATTAGCATCAGCTAAATATCAATTTAATAGATGTTAGCCAAGGACGCTGAAAATAGGCGGACGTAACTGTATTTATGCCGCGGAGAACTTAACGGGTTACCGGGGCTCCGGCTCGAAGTGCAGGAGTAGGAACGGGGCAGTTTTTAGTCAGTAAGAGGCTGACACACCCTCCCGCCCGCCTCACCCAGGTGGGAGATGTAATTCCACGATTTTTCCCCCCTTTGTCCTCTATCAGACATCATCATATCACAACCTCCTTTCTCTTACTTCCTTTCTATCTATTCACATTTTCTTCCCCTTCATTTTCACTCTAATATTATGAATGTGATAGTTTCTTTGTTTGGATGTGTATCCGTCAATCACGCTGAAAGTACTAAAAGGAATTTGATTTTTGATATGCAGGTAGGGTATGAGCTGACTTAGGTGACAGGGTTTTGTATCCTGATTAAATGCTCTCTTGAGATAAAACAGGAATGAATATTCTACGCGGACGAAGTCGCGGGCATCAACTAGTGATGACAATAAATATCAGCCGGTGCCCGGTAGCTACCACACTGCTGGACTCTTCTCACATGGTGAGGCGATTACACACGCGTAAGGCGGTTGGACAACTTGAGACCTGTGTATAAGCTGTAAGGGCTCGTACGCAAAACTGCGATTCGCAATTCGCAACGCAAAAAATTACGATGCGAATAGCTGCGATGCGATTTCGTGCGAGTATGCGTCTCTCAGGGTGACCATTCCTTCGACGACCGTCAACCGTACTAAACGTAATTTAAATTAAAAACTAGGTCGTGATATGGATCGTAAAAATCAGTGTGCACTTCTGTTGTTGCTTAGGAGATACAGGAAAAAGAAACAAAGAAAATTTTGGGAAGATAAGATTTTGATGCGCGATGCGAATCAATACGCAAGTTCTAGCGATGTGTAGAGGGAGCTCGATGCGATGTCGCATCGCAGGTTTGTGTACGAGCCCTCAAGTCATTCAATTTATGAATCACTCAAAATACCGGAAATAACGGTGAGATATTATGGAACTTTTCATAGTATCTATTCACCCAAGTTTCATCACCATCATCATCAACAGCCTATAAATGCCCACTGCTGAGCAAAGCCTCTTCCCACACGGAGAAGGTTTGAGCATTAATCACCGCGCTTCCTCAATGCGGGTTGGTGATTACAAACTTATAATAACAAATTATAAGCCCAGGTTTCCTCACGATGTTTTCCTTCACCAGTTTTGTCAGTGGTATCTAAATAATCTTAGAAAGTACATATAACTCGGAAAAAGTCACATTGGTACTTGCCGTTGGTAGGTTTTGAACTCGCAACCTCATGCATGAGAAGCGGGCGTCTTAAACCTCCGGGCCACCACGACATTTTTTTACCAGTTTACCCTAAGTATTTTGTTTCATCGTGGAAAAACCCACGACGAGTTGCACAGCAGCCAATCGCCCAACCTCTGCGCTCACCTTGCATTTAACTAGAAACACGTCAAGGTATTTTGCTAACTTACAAAAATTATTGTTATAATTATTTGAGTAATGTTTCAGTTCGTTTTCCAACTTGTTCGTTTCGCCAATGAAGGCTAACATCATCACACATAATATGTACATAATTGTATAATCCGTTATGCTTGTTGGTAAATTCTTAACATTAAGGACAACATAGCCTTTAATTGCGACTGCGCAACGTAGTGCGGGGTCGATTCCCGCACGGAATAGCACTGTGTGATCCACAGATTGTTGATCTTGGTCTCGGTGTCATTGGGTATGTGCACTTGTAAACGCACCCACGACACAGGAGAAAATCCTAGTACCTACCCCAGCCGCGGAGAACGTAAACGGTTACCGGGGCTCCGGCTCGAAGTGCAGGAGTAGGAACAGGGTGGGTTTTAGTCTGTAAGAGTCTGACACTCCCTCCCGCCTCACAGGGAGAAGCCATTCGATGATACTTCCCTCCTTAAAAAAAAGTACTTACCCTGAACTTTAAGAAAAAGTAAAACTTAAAAAGTAAAAAAGAAACCTTTAAATAAAAATTGGTTACTTAGATCTTGAAACCATGAAAACATTATTTGAAATTATTATTTTTAATAATTATTAGTGTGGGAGAACAATGCTTCAGTACGAATGGGCCGGCTCGACCGGAGTGATACCACGGCCGAGCAAAAAGCCGACGTGAAGCAACACTTGTGTTGTGTTTCATCGTGTGAGTGAAGTTACCAGAGGGCTAATTATCCTGGTCCACTTCCCAATCACCCCAATCCCTGAATCCCAAACGATTCTCAAACTCCTAATCCCTAAAAGGCCGGTAACGCACTTGTAACGCCTCTAGTGTTCCAGGTGTCCATGAGCGACGCCGATTGCTTACCGTCACCGCGAACCGTCTGCCCGTTTACCGGCTTATGCCATAAAAAAATCCCTAAATAAAAAGTCATGATAATCAGACCTTGAATGCAATCCACTTTACGTGGAGGGGCCATGTTTCGGTACGAATGGACCACCTCGACCAGCTCTAAGCTATTTTGTTAGATGTCTCGTTGGCCGAGTGGTCGCAAGTGCGACTGCCGGGCAAGGGGTCTCGGGTTCGAATCCCGGGTCGGGCAAAGTATTACTGGGTTTTTTAAAAAACCTCAGTAGTAGCACGGAGTCTGGAATTGTGCCCGTTATATGGCAATAGGCTCACCCCCTATTACATGGGACTCATAACATAAGTGGGTGTTACTTCTGTGTGCACCTCTGCCTACCCCTTCGGGGATAATAGGCGTGATGTTATGTTATGTCAATTTGAACTATCGCCCGTCATTCATCGTCACCGTCATCAACCAATAACATGTCGGACCACGATCGAGCTCACTTCAAGAGTTCGAATTGACATTTTACACAATAGCCCAGCTGCTCCGGAGCCCTCACAGCGCAACGCCTGTTACGGTACATTCCTAGGGAGACCTGCGTCTCCGTTGACCCTCGCTGTGCAGTTGAACGTCAACACGTGACCACTTTGCTACCGTCTTCTCTTAAGCCACTCTTTCGTACGAGCAGCATGTTGCCAACGGCAGAGGTAATTTTGCAACCGTTGATGAGTCAGCGGCATCCGTTGACGCGTCGACGGCATCCGACGAAGAACTTCGAAGAACGCTACAATTGGGTAGTTTCCAGGGTATCATAATTAAAAATCTAATTAGTCCGTCAGTTATATAATGAAAAAATATTAGACACGTATTTTTTTATTTTCTCGTATTAATTTGCAATACTTAGATAAAATGGCGCTAAGTTTAGGAGTGGGAGGTCGTTACGTCATAACGTGCTACAAAATGTGGCACGCTGTGACGTCACACGATATTTCAAATTAATATATCGTCGAAAGTATTTAATTTTGTGAGAAAAGAAAAAATACGTGTCTAAAGTTCTAATTAATGTACCAGACGGACATTAAAATAAAATTTAGGAAACTATCCTATTTCAAGTGTCGCTATAGATCGACTGCTGCCGCCGACGTGTTGACAGCTGCAGTTGCCAGAGTTACCTCTGCCGTTGGCAACAAGGCACTCGCGTGTAAGAGCTCTTACAAAATTACCTATCAACATGTTTTTCTTACAGAGGCGACGTGGACGCGGTGGCAGACGGCGTAATCGTCAGCGAGCTACCACTAATGCACCAGATGAAGAGGTAAGTACCTACTTACTTAGGTTAGTTTCCACCAAACTCTAAAATTTTAAAGAATCCCTAAGTTAATATGGCCACAGACAGCTTTAAGAAGAAACGAGTAGAAGAGGGGTAAGGAGGCCTTTGTCCTGAAGTGGGACGACGCCTTTTATCCTCGAAGGCAGAGGTGCTCACTACGCCACTTACTGCCACTGTCCAATGTAACACCCAATTTACACTATTTATGTTATGAGTCCCATGTAATAGATGGTGAGATAGGTTTCACTTAAAGTCATATTGGTTTTCACCAACTTAGTAGATGACTAATTTTTATTTCAATGTCCGTCTGGTAGATTATTTCAAAACTTTAGACACGTATTTTTATTTTCTTACAGAAACGAATAGTTTCGACGATATATTTCGTCACTTTTGAGTAGTTTTTATATTCTAAAGTGACGTAGCTAGCTGCCACTATTAAACTTTAATTCGTTTTGTCTATATAAGAATTGTGGCATTAGGTACGTGCCGTAATGTGCACCTCTGCCTATCCCTTCGGGGATAAAAGGCGTGATGTTATGTATAAATGTAGGACGGTAAACAAGCAGACGGATCACCTGATGGTAAGCACTCATCACAGCCCATGGACACCCCGAACACTAACGGAGTTCCAAGCTGCTGGTCTTTTCTGTATGGGGGATGTTTACAAAGAACTAAAATTTATACTAAATTACTTTTCAGAAATCCCATGTAAGTACATAGGCAATACGTACCTACCAATTTAAGTTCACCTGCCTTGCTGGACATGCCGAACAGAAGTGAACTTTAATAAATTCACTTAAAGTTCCTTTTCAGCCAAAGAATGGATCTAGTACCGAGGTGCCAATCGCTCGCACCGGTGAGATGGTGGAACGAAAGCGTTCTTTTAGCAGATCACCTAACTTTGACATGTACGAGCCTCCTGGCAAGGTAAATTGAACTCTATTTATTTATTTAAACATAAGACCCACAGCTAGATTAGTCACTACAACCTTCCGGGACCGCGGCAAATTCATCATGGGACTCCGTTCCATATATAAAAGAAAAAATTTCAGATGAAAACTCCCTTACAGTTGGGAACCTGTGGCATTTTGCCGCCTTGCCACCCTGTAGTTACGCTACGGCTCATAGTGTTGTGAGGTTGATTATCTCCAATTCAAAGTAACTGTTTTCTGGAAGACATTTCAGCCTATGAGGTGACTTTTTTATAGCATAAGCCGGTAAACGAGCAGACGGATCACCTGATGGTAAGCAATCGGCGCCGCCCATAGACACCCGAAACACCAAGGCGTTACAAGTGCGTTACCGGCCTTTTGGAAATTGGGAATTTGAGGATTGTGGAGGATTCGGGGATTCGGAAGACTAGGGAGGGGGGGAGGGGATAATTGGGCCTCCGGTAACCTAACTCACACGACGAAACGCAACGCAAGCGTTGTTACACGTCGGTTTTCTGCTCGGCCGTGGTATCACGCCGGTCGAGCCGGACCATTCGTGCCGAAGCATGGCTCTCCCACACTTAAAAGGCTAAGGCTATAGTTCTTTATTTGCACTATCTCGCCCGGTGGTAACCGATGATGCGCCCTAATGGTGCACGTCGTCCCATAAGCAAGCTATTCACTCGGGCCTTGAAGACCTACCTTTCAGGAAACAGACTCTGGCGAAGAGTTTACACTCTTTAGCGGTTCTAATTAACAACTTGAGCCAAATTCGTATTTTGAACATTAACTGCACGGTCGGTGCGGTGGCTGGGCAACCGGCTGCCGTGCAAAGTGTTGCCGGTTCGATTCCCGCACGGAACAACACTTTGTGTGATCCACAAACTGTTGTTTCGGGTCTAGGTGTCATTGTGTATGTGAACTTGTATTTTTGTTAAACGCACCCACGACACAGGAGAAAATCCTAGTGTGGGGATACATTTAAAAAAATAAATAAATAGATGTTGATTTTTTCCCCTCAAAAAAATCCTGATATATCACAATTTCTTTCAGGATTGGGAGTCAGGTTACGTTGAAATGCCAAAAGACTTGTATCAGGCACATTTAAGGCCAGGAGTCATATTCAGAATCCATATGTCTGAAGCCATTCTCAAAATGCAGTACAGAAAGTAAGTAAATATATTTTTTTGCGTTTTATTTAGGTAACTAGCTACTTCCGCGCGGTTTCACACGCTCTGCTCCTATTGGTCGTAGCGTGATGTTTTATAGCCTATAGCCATCCTCGATAAATGCGTTATCCAACACAAAAAGAATTATTCAAATCAGACTTGTAGTTACGGAGATTAACGCGTTCAAATAAACAAACAAAAAAACAAACTCTTCCGCTTTATATAATAGTGTAAGATAAGATATAATTTTTAACAACCGCCTTCGGAAACAGAAGGAGGTCGTCAATTTGACCGGTATGTATGTTTGACTGTCACGGTGACCCGGAGGTTAAGACTTCTTCTTCAAAAGAGGCTTCTTTCTCTTATGCATGAGGGTGGGGTTTCGAAACCTATCGCCGGCAAGTACCAATGTGACTTTTTCGAGTCATATTATGTGCTTTCTAATCTAAGATTATTCAGACACCACTGACAAACGGTGAAGGAAAACATCGCGAGGAAACCTGGGCTTTTAATTTCTAATTATAAGTTTAAAATCGCCAATCCACATTAAGTAATCGTGGTGATTAATGCTCAAACCTTCTCCGTGTGAGAAGAGGCTTTGCTCAGTGGGCACTTATGGGCTGTTGATGATGATGATGTTTGTTTGACCAAGGACGTCGAAAAAAGGCAGACGTAATGTCACTTAGAAATTATTGAAGCACCAAAGTGTCAGTGGTGTATTTATGTGTGTGTATACTTGCAACACCGTAATGTATGAAGTGTAACGACGGGCCATGTCACGCGACAGATGTCCTTCGTGTCGATGTGTGTGTATTCTACGTGTAAGTCTATAGTAGCCAGGTACTTGTTTCAAGAGACTATGTTCGCCTTATTTAATGTCCTCGTTTGACCGCGATTATCTCGCGAAGTTGAATTAATTTTGATGCGGTAATTGGGCCTCCGATGACCTCACTCACATGTCTGTGATGAGTGTGAGGTAGTGGACATGTTGTGACTGATATTATGACGATAATTAATAGTTGGGAGTATGTAGAAAGACCTATTATGATAGTAAATATTATTTATATATCTCTTCAATTCCAACTACTTCCAGTTACGGTGAAGACAAAGACGAATCAGTAATTGAAGCCGACGTAGAATACCTTCGGTTGACCAGGAAGGTTATCAACGATGAGATCACCAAGTTTGAGGACTTGCAGTGGTTAATTGGGTGGTTCCACAACCGATCTTCTTTGATACAAGAACATATGTGCAATACCAGATATTATACTGTTGGTGAGAATTTTAAGTTTATTTTCGTACATTCAGCCAAGTGTGGGAGAGCCATGCTTCGGCACGAATGGTCCGGCTCGACCGGAGTGATACCACGGCCGAGCAGAAAACCAACGTGAAGCAACACTTGCGTTGTATTCCATCGTGTGAGTTACCGGGGGCACAATTACCCACCTCTTCGATCTCCCCAATCCCCAAATCCCCAATAATCCTCAAATTTTTAATGCCCAAAAGGCTGGTAACGCAATTGTAAAGCCTCTAGTGTTTCGGGTTCATGGGCGACGCCGATTGCTTACCATCAGGTGATCCGTCTGCTCGTTTACTGGCTTATTCCAGAAATAAAATTGTATGCAGGTAAGAAAACATAGTATCTCAATACTTCTTGAGGCGGAATAAACCTAGAAAGCGCCGTAGACGAGCAACTCATAGGCGTCCCTAATTTTTTTAGCGCCATCGTCACTATGGGCGTTTAGGCACACGCGTCTCGCGGCACCTTTCTGTAACCTGGCGCTCCAGGCAGTTACCTAGCTTGCCTAAGGGATAATATGGCTCTGTTTATTTTATATGGGATAAGCCAGTAAACGAGCAGACGGATCACCTGATGATATGCAATCGGCGTCGCCCGTGAACACCAGAGGCGTTACAAGTGCGTTACCGGACTTTTTGGAATTAGGAATTTGAGGATTGTTGGAGATTCAGGGATTGGGGTAGGGGGCGGGGGTAATTGGGCCTTCGGTAACCTCACTCACACGACGAAACACAACACGTTAGTTTCAAGTCGGTTTTCTGCTCGGCCGTGGTATCACTCCGGTCGAGCCAGCCCATTCGTGCCGAAGCATGGCTCTCCAACACTTGAAATTGTATTTGATCGATGATGATGATGACGTCATCAACATCAACATCCCATTGTTTCCAGGAACCCCACCAACAATGTTCACACACCCAGAAGAGTACATGAAGCGACTGTGTCTATTCGATAGTGTGTATATTGATCATATACCGTATATCATCGGCGAGGACAGCTCCCTTATGGCTGCAGTGGCGCCACCTGTGTTACATTGCGACGCCGCTACTTGCACTTCTGTACCTTTTATTGACAGGTATTATAAATAGCAGACTGATAATAATTGTAGACGCAATTGTGAGTATTGAACAAGGGGTCTTGACTCTGATTGATATTTGATTCTGGTTGTGTTGCGAGGTCTTTGTAATATCGGTCGAACCTGTTGCTACACATAGGGCAATATTTCTGGAAATTTACCTAACAATTAAATTTGAGACAACGAAGAATCGAAAGACCGAAAAATCAGCATTTAGGTATTGCTTTGTCCTATCCGAAAACCGAAGAATTCTTACTTATAAAATTATGCAAGTGTTTGCTTAAGGCGTGATTTTTATGAGTTACATGGTAAACGAGCAGACGGATCACCTGATGGTAAGTAATCATGCAGTACCTACCGTCCATAGACACCCGCAACACCAATGTTACAAGTGCATTGCCGACTTATGGATAATAAGCAGTGATCGGAAAAAGGTGAGCTAATTTAAAACCAAAAATCGTGACAAAAGCTAGAAAGAAACCGCAACTTTTGTTTTTGTTAATTTTGGTGTTGAATTTATGCTCTTTCTTACATCTTAAAATATTTATTGTTGAAAACAATAAAAGTTTTAATTCTGTTTGGTTTTGTGTTCATCACGAAACGAAATCAATTGTTTTCTGTATTAATAACAATTATATTAAATGTACCTAATATATAAATATACCGAAACTGGAACCGGAACTTTCCCAAAAAAAAATTTGTAGTAACGAAGTCTCCACTTTTTGATTTTTTCCTTGAAATTTAGGTAAATTAGCTCACCTTTTTCCGATCACTGATAATAAGGATTGGGCAACCACGCTCACAACGGCAGAGACGGTATTTTCCCCAAAATCTAAGACTATTTATTTGGTTAAAAACATGGTATGATGGTATACAAGATGTTATTACCTATTAGATTAGTTCATACATGTTTCGCTTGGTTAGAATAATTTCATAATCAGTTTTGTTTAATAATTTGAAATTAGAATTTTGCCATTATGTCATTTAAAAAAACATTTTAATTATAGAAATTATTATCATTGAGCCATTTATATAATTTAATCTGAAATAAATTAAAATTTAATGTTTTAAATACAATTGGGTAGTTTCCAGGGTATCAAAATTAAAAATATAATTAGTCTGTCAGTTAGATAATGAAAAAATATTAGACATGTATTTTTTTATGTTCTCGTATTAAGTTAAACTTAGAGAAAATGGTGCTAAGTTTAGGAGTGGGAGGTCATTACGTCATAACGTGGTACAAAATGTGTCACGCTGTGACGTCACACGATATTTCAAATAATATCGTCGAAAGTATTTAATTTTGTGAGAAAATAAATATACGCAAATTGAAATTTTGAACCATAATCTTATTATAGTATGTATTTATAGAATTCCAGATTCTGATTTATCTATATTTTTTAGAAAACTTGAATTATTGTTAGGAAAACTAACGCATAAAAGTAAAAATCATATAATCTTGTCTGGTGATTGGAACATAGACATATTGAAAAACAATAAATATTCAAGAGAATTAATATCAATTCTAAATAATTACAACATTACGGCACATATTAAAATGCCTACCAGGAAAAATGCAAGTATAGATCAAATAGCCAGTAACTTGCCCACACTCGATTTAAAAAGCAATATTCATGGGTTGGCACTTTCTGATCATGATACCGGCCAAACATTAACATTCCGTCTACATAATATTGTGAAAAATATATCAAAAAATTGTAAATTTTGGTATGACACCAAAAGAGATTTTAGTGTGGATAACATAAATAAATTTTTACAATGTTTAGAATCACTAAGTTTTGATGAGGTGTATAAAGAGACAGACTGCGACAATGCATTCAGGGAATTTCACGACCTATTTATTTTATTTCACAAATTATGTTTTCCAGAAATACGAGTTAGATCAAACAACAAATTAATAAAAAATAAATGGCTTAGTAAGGGCTTAAGGGTATCTTGCATCAGAAAACGAATGCTATATTATGAATACCAACACAACGCTGTAAACAAAGTCTACCATAAAAAAAAATACCGCCATTATACAAATATTTTGAAGAAATGTATAATAAAATCACAACAAATAAACAATAATAATTATTTCTTACATTCTAAAAATAAATGTAAAGCCACGTGGTCTATAATAAAAAATAACCTAAACAAACATGTTAACAAAAATGACATAAGCGATATAAAAGTTAATGATAAAGTAATTACTGATCCCACTGACATATCTAATCATTTTAATAACTTTTTCATTGAACTCACGAAAACAAATAATTTCAACAATAATTTAGATGTAAATAATATTAACATGACCACTAATATAAACACATTGTTTTTGACACCAGTGAACGAATCTGACATAATAAAAATTATTAATTCCCTAAACAACACAAATTCTACGGGATATGATGAAATTGATACAAAAACAATAAAGTTAAGCGCGAAAATCATAGCACAGCCACTTAGCTACTTGATTAACCTCTCGTTTGAACAAGGTGTATTTCCAACTAGACTGAAAGAGTCCATAATAAAACCATTATACAAAAAGGGCAAACACAACGATCTAAATAACTATAGACCTATTACATTGATACCAGTATTTGCAAAAATTTTTGAGAAAGCCATGCATGTTAAAATGTCCAGCTTCCTAAACAAACATAATCTAATTGTGGAGAATCAGTTTGGTTTCAGAAAACAGAGTTCAACAACATTAGCCAGTTATTCTTTAGTAAAACGAATTAGTGAAGCTCTTAATAATAAAATGTCAACTTTATCAGTTTTTCTAGATATGAGCAAAGCATTTGACTTTGTCTCACATAAACGTCTACTTTACAAGCTAGAAAAATATGGTATAAGAGGTAAATCTCACGATTGGTTCAAAAGCTATTTGTCCAACCGCCAACAAAGGACTGTTATCTCTAAAATTGTAAACAGTACTAGAATAACATATAGCTCCGAATTAAAAAATAACAACTCTGGCGTACCACAGGGGAGTGTACTGGGCCCGCAGCTGTTCATAATATATATAAATGACCTATCACAATGTCTTAAACATAACTGTATTCAATTTGCGGATGACACTACATTGACGATAGGATGTTTGGAAAAAACGGATATGGAAACTGAAACTAATACTGAATTAACAAATGTAATGAAATGGTTAGAAGACAATAATCTGCAAGTAAATATTAATAAAACAAAATTAGTTAAATTTCAAACATATAACTCAACAATTATACCGACAGCAATACAACACAAAAATACTATTTTACAACCAGTACAGTCGGCTTTATTTTTAGGTATTGTAATTGACAACAAACTCGATTGGAAAGAACATATAGAAAGAGTGTGCAACAAGTTAGATAAGTTTGTGTATGCCTTGAAAAAACTTAGGTTAGTATCCAGTAAAGAAACAAGTCTAAATGCCTATCACGGTTATGTTTCATCGGTGTTGCGTTACGGTTTAGTGATATGGGGCAACTCAGTAGATGTGCAAAGAGCTTTTATAGTGCAAAAAAAATGTATCAGAGCCATAGGTGGCGCTGAATATTTGGATCATTGCAGACCATTATTCAAGGAACTAAAAGTACTTCCTCTGCCATGCCTTTACATTTATGAAATTTGTGTTTTTGTAAAAAAGTACTCACATTTATTTCCATTAAATGAACAGATCTCTGTTAGATTAAATAATAAAAATCCTGGAAAACTACTGGTACCTAGACAAAGATTACATTTATACAGTAATAATGTACATTGCATGGCAATTAAAATTTATAATAAATTATCACCTGACCTGAAAATGTTACCAATAAGTAAATTTAAATATCGTATGTTCACTTGGCTTCTCGACATGTGCTTCTATTCTATTAATGAATTTTTAAATCACAAGTTTTGACATTATTTAATATTTCGACATTATACCTCTAATATATTATATTATGACATTGTATTTAGTATTTTGACATTGAATTAATTTTTTTTTTTTTTTACATTTACTGACATTGTATTTAGTATTTTAGTTTAGTATTTTGACAATTTACGTTTTGACATATTGACATTGTATTTAGCATTTAAACATTTTATGAAATATTTTGTTACTTCTATTTAATGACATGTACCAACCAAATTCTTATAATGTGTGATTCAATTTACTTGGCATTATTGTAATTACTATTTTTTTTTATTATTATTATTTTATTTTATTTTATAAAGCATGGTTAACATAATATTTCTACACCAGCAATGGTAGTGTATGTGAAACAATATTTAATGTAAAACCTCAATGTACCATATACTTGGAAATAAATGACATTCATTCATTCATTCATTCATTCATACGTGTCTAAAGTTTTAAATTAATGTACCAGACAGACATTAAAATAAAATTTAGGCAATTACCCTATTGTATAGCACACACTCAGCTAAAAAGTTTTTATTATATTTTGCTTATCTATCTAGCTCTTCCAGCTCAACTAATTCTATTTTACGTTGATTCCAGCGTAATGTTTGACGAGCGCCTCCCTCGAACGAATGTGCGCACTCTAACAAGATGTCAAGCATCATGTCGGGCGCACTGCCGCAACGACCCGGATTGTCTCAAGCGGTGCTCCGACCGATGTCTGAGGTCCGACTAGCTATGAATATTTCTGAATACAGCAGTTGGATAGTATTTGTGTTTTATTTATGAAAAAGGAGTAAAAGGGTCACCTGATGGCTAACGCTTCCAGTATTTTCGCTTACATTTGGGTACCTATGCCATCATAGCTGGGCACCGTTAATCAAATAGTTAACTTCGTTAATCGTTAATCAGCTACATAAAAAGTTAGCTTCGTTAAACGTTAAAGCGTTAAATTTCGGAAGAATTAACGCAAGTTAACGTTAATCCGTTAATATGTGTAAAATTACATTTTTATATCGTTGCGTTAGTGAACTTAAAAAAACTTATTGGTTTAGGTTATTAATAAAACAAAATACTTGTATAATTCAATTGTGTAATTTAATCCCTCGCGCGTTTTATGCACACAGCACACCGTGTGTATAAGTGCACTTGTCATTTCATACTTGTCTAAACCTGTTTATCGCGCCGCGCCTCGGTTCCGTGCGGTAAATAGTAGGCATTGGATTAACGATTAACGGACTTCTGCATTTTAACGGAAGTTAACGCGTTCATTACCATTTTTTAAAGTTAATCCGTTCATCAAAATGTTAACTTCGTTAATAAACGATACGGATTAACGAGTTCATGCCCAGCTATGTTATGCATGTCCTAAAACCGTTGCTATGTGGAGACGCGGAGTAGAATAAAGTTACCACTTCAGAGTGCAGGAGTCTTTAACGCGAGTGTCGTTAGAGACGACTATGGGACGACACGTTTGACAGCGATAATCCTGAGGCCTTAGAACGAGTTTATTATACGTTTAAAGTAACTGAAAGAAAACCGCCTTTGTCGCTGTGAGTGGTCCGTTCATTCATAGATAATCAACAGCAATAAGTGGCCAAAGGCCTCTTCTCGCTTGGAGAATGTTCGTTTAAGCATTAGTTGCGCTTGCGCATTTAGCCACGCTTGCGATTTCAAACTTATAATTAGAAATTGTAAGTCCAGGTTTCCTCACGATGTTTCCCTTCACCGTTGGTCAGTATGGTGTCTAAATAATCTTAGAAAAAGTCACATTAGTACTTGCTGTTGGTAGAAACGGATCTCCAATTGGCGATGAAGTGTGGAGATAGTAAAAAGCCCTCTTATGGAGTATAGTGGAGGTCCATGATGTAGGTATTAATAGGCTGTCAAGATTCAAGAGCTGTTGGTGATGATGAGTAAAAAATAAAATTCATTTAAGTTCTAAATTAAAACCTGCGTGTATTTGATTATGGAAATTATATTATCAATTTGAATACTTACATGATCTTTCTCAATTTTCAAACAATGTCCGTATCGAACTTCATCACAATCGGTCGATCAGTTTTGAAGGCAAACCGTAACAAACATACAAAATTTGATTGTTTCGCATTTTAAGTAATTAAAATCTAGATTGTACGCTGAATATAGATTTTAATATAGCACTACGCCTATTATAGGTCGTTATTTTATGTGGTAGGGCGGCAAACGAGCAAACGGATCACCTGATGGTAAGCAATCGGCGTCGCCCATGGGCACTTGGAATACTAGAGTCGTTACAAGTGCGTAACCGGCATTTTGGGGATTAGGAATTTGAAAATTTGATGGGTATTCAGGGACTGGGGAAGGGTCTGGAATATCACATAGGCTAAGTTTTATCCCACGCAATCGCGAGCGAAGCCGCTGACAGAAGTTAATCTATCTATATATAGAGGTATATATAAAAATGAAACCCGTTTCCCGTTGACACGCCATAATTTGAGAACGGCTAGACCGAATTGGCTAAATTTTTTTTTTTGTTGTGTTTGTTATCGTCAGGAGTAGGTTCTTATGATAGAAAAAAGTCCTGAAAATCCTACGGGAATGAGAGAAACGGGATTGCGCGTACGAAGTCGCGGGCAGAAGCTATGTCGCGGAAAACCTAAAGGGTTACCGCGGCTCCAGCTCGACGTGCAGGGGAAGGAACGGAGTGGTTTTTAGTCAGTAAGATGTCTGACACTCCCTCCCGCCTCACCCAGGCTGGAGCAGTCATTCGATGATTTTCCCTCTTAAAAAAAAAGTTTGAAATAAAAACAAATTGTTCAGCTTAAATAAACATTTAATATAATATATACAATTTATTAACTAATACAATATAACAGTATGTATAAATAAGCTATACAGTCCACAGTTATATATTAAACTATTACAGGGTAAACAGAACACTACCGAAAAACGCCGACAAGTGATGGTCAAACACAAGTTCTATCACTACATAGTATAAAACAAAGTCGCTATCCGCCGTCCATCTGTCCCTACTGCTTCAAAACTGTCGCGGAGAACCTAACGGGTAACCGGGGCTCCGGCTCGATGTGCAGGAGAAGGAACGGGGTGGTTTTTAGTCAGTAAGAGTCTGACACTCCCTTCCGCCTCACCCAGGCGGGAGCAGTCATTCGATGATTTTCCCCCCTTAAAAAAAAGTGCTTCAAAACTGCGCAACGGATTTTGATGCGGTTTTTTTAATAGATAGAGTAATTCTTAAGGAAGTTTTATATGCATAATGCCACTGTACAATATAATATCCACTTTTCTCTATTTATGTTATGAGTCCCATGTAATAGGGGGTGAGCCTATTGCTATATAACATAAAATGTGGTGAATAGGGACAGAAGAGGGCTGAATAGATATGAGGAAATTCTTCATAGTATCAATTCACCCCTCTTCTGTCCCTATTCGCCGCTCAAACTCTATTCACCCCATTTTACCGTACCGACCACAATCGGGTACTTGCCAACTAGTCAAATTCAATACTTTTTTCGAACTGTCAAAAACGACAGAAAAAATTTGCTAAAATTAAGTTGGTCATAAAATCAATTAATGAAAGTGTGATTATTTTTTAATATTTTATTGTATTGGACAGTCGAAATAATTTATTTTTAATGAAGGCAAGTACCCAATTCCAGACTCCGTGCTACTACTGAGAATTTTTTACGAAACCCATTACAATTGTAAAAACAATTTATTTATTTAGAAACTTTACAATTTCTTTCTGTCAGCATTTCGGAGTCATTCCACACCCTGTATATAAATATAATATTCCTATATATTTTGTACGATATTATATATTATTGCTATACCACCTTTACATATAAACGCTACACTTTGCTATTCCGACATTGATAATAATAAAAATAAGAAAACGAAGTCTTCTTATATTTTGGACCTGGGCGCTTACTCTTGAAACCAATCTCAATGTCAATGCAATTTCAATCCAATAAAATCTCAATAATTATTCAATGTCAACACTATACAACTCCTACCGTAGCTGTTAAAATAGCATTCAGAGTACGGAATATAAAGACAAACTCAATACCATTTAGTTTAATAAATATTCACGCAATACGGATGCAATGGGCGCTAGTGTTGCAACTCAAGAGTACGAAATTTCACAATACCAATGTCGATCGATCGGAATTGGATTCAAGAGTAAGCCCTTATCCTTTTGGTTGTAAAATTGAAAATCAGTAAATATTATGCCTATGCCTGATTTCACCAACTCTTGCCTAAGAAATACTTAGCTTGAAGTAGTACCTCAAAGTCTCCAACGCCTTTACCTTTTAGATATCACTTATAAGTTTGTGATAACTAAAATATCGTTAGGCGTCATATATCTCGGAGTCGCGGAGAACCTAACGGGTAACCGGGACTCCGGCTCGACGTGCAGGAGAAGAAACGGGGTGGTTTTTAGTCAGTAAGAGTCTGACACTCCCTCCCGCCTCACCCAGGCGGGAGCAGTCCTTAGATGATTTTCCCCCCGTAAAAAAGAAAAGGCGTCATATATCTATCTTCTATCTATACATATAATAAAATCGTAGGAAACTGAAAACTGTACATCGATTTTTTTTAAAAGAAGGCTTTTGGAATTATGGTTTTTAGAATTTTTGTCTGTTTGTCTGTATGTATGTATGTCCGGGATGAACTCAAAAAGTGCTGTATGGATTTACTTCAAAATTGAATATTACTGATAGCTCGGGTGAACATATAGGCTACATATTATCACGCTATCACCTACGAGAGAGGAGCTGTGAATTACTCTTTCACGCGGACGAAATCGCGGGCACAGCTAGGGCTAGCTAGTTTTTAATATCTTTAATCTTAGTATTGATTGGTGAAATCGGGCATTAGTGCCGAAATCATAGAGCACTTTCGAACTAATCAAAAAAGGTAATTAGGTGTTGTGAAATTAAAATGGTATTGATTCCAATATTGGGCAATATTTTATATTGGAACCACACCATTCTAAAAAAATAATCAATTATCGTCAATATCGAACTGATTTGTATAACACATAACATAACATCACGTATTTTACCCCCAAAGGGGTACGCAGAGTGACATTACGGCACTTAATGTCACTTTACAATGTAACACCCTCTTTTCACTATTTATGTTATGAGTCCCTTGTAACAGGGGGTGAACCTATTGCCATATATCGGGCACAAATCCAGTCTCCATGCTATTACTGAGAATTAAAAAAAAAACAGTAAAACTTTACCCGACCCGGGAATTGAACCCGAAATCCCATGCCCGGCAGTCACATTTGCAAGAGATGAATTATTAGTTACACTGTTCACTCACGTAACTGTTTGAAGTAACTCGACTAGTTTCAAGCCATAATAGAGGCTCATATTCTCAAGCAGCATTGTTGCATACAATTTTTCATGAGACATCTATAAATATCAAAAAAAAGGTGTCTAACTGTCTCATCAGTGTCTTTTGTTTAAGGGGGGAAAATCATCGAATGACTTCTCCCCCTGGGTGAGGCGGCAGGGAGTGTCAGACTCTTACTGACTAAAAACCACCCCGTTCTTTCTCCTGCACTTCGAGCCGGAGCCCCGGCAACTCGTTAAGTCCTCTGCGGCGCCGTATCTGCATCAGCCCTATTGGGCCCCATCCGTGGTGGTCTGATGGCTCTTTGAGGCGCGCGGAACGTTTGGCGCCTTACGCTCTGGGCCTCTAGCCAAACGCCACTTTAGCGCTTGTCTACAGAGAGAGTACAAATCAAAATGTATGGGGATGACACTGACAAGTGTCAAAATTTACGTCAATTCCATATAAATTGGTTTTCTATTCTACATGTAGACAAGCGCTAAGTGGTATTTGTCTACAGCTGCTGGTCTAGTTCTGGTCGGGCGGCGAGCCACCCATGCTCACCGTCCGCAGGCCCGCGCTTACGGTGGCCGGAGATCGTTGGTCAAAGTGTCTAGGTCTAATTTCAAGCCACACTAGGAACTCATAGTCATGAACATTGTACGACAAACAGTTACGTGAGTACCGCACGAATTTTGAAAGGCTACTCAATTTTAAATTGTATACTTAAATCGTGCCGTCTCTGTCGTTTTACAAATAATTAGTGGGGACAGAACTATTTTTGGAGGCGCCTTAAAGTTTAGTGGCATTTTGTTGAGTATTTGCACATAAGCCGTATCTCAAATAAAAGACAAGTCGACTAATTTCTATTTTAACATCCATCTGATAGATAATTTCAAAACAATAGACACGTATTTAATATTTTCTTACGACGATTTGAAATATCTCATGACGTCACTTCTAGATACATTTTATACGTAGAAATGACGTTTTAGCCCCCACTCCTAAACTTTGATTCGTTTTATCTAAGTATTGTTTTCTTATACGACAAAATTAAAAAATACGTGTCTAATATTTATTTGTTTTAGTTTTCTATAGGAGAAGCCGGTAAACGAGCAGACAGATCACCTGATGGTAAGCAATCGGCGCCGCCTATGGACACCTGGAATACCAGAGGCGCTACAAATGCGTTACCGGCCTTCTGGTGATTAGGAATTTGAGGAATGTTGGGGAGATTGGGGAAGTAAGGGTAATTGGGCCTCCGGTAACCTCACTCACACGACGAAACACAACGCCAGCGTTGTTTCACGTCAGTTTTCTGTGAGGCCGTTATGTCATTACCTAACTGACGGACTAAATAGATTTTTAATTTTCCTACCCCGTCATCATCCCTATTATTGCTATGATTCTTTACTATCAACCAAATCGCCTTTCTGATAAAAGTCTCCGATGGCTTGTTTTTCTAGATAGTCTCCTATGACTTCGTTGGTCTTCTGCCGACCTGGTCTCTGAGGGGGAGTGACGATGTCGTGCTGTCTAAGAAGGTGCTTCTTCCAGTAGCATCTTCGGGTGAAACAGGCGTGGCAAACGTTGCATTCGAACCTGGAAGACAATGAAGATATTAAATTACTATGTTTTCGGCTTCATCACATAATTATTTGACGAGGAACTCGACTGAAACTGAACTGACTTGAAATTTCAAGCGAAGATATTGGTGATCAAATGAAGATATTGGTATTAAACTCGGTGTTAATTGTAATGGGAGGTTAAAGTAAAGAATTATAATTTGAGTTGAAATATAAAAAAAGGCTTGAAAAAAGACTGAAGATTCATTTATTCGTCTAAATGTAAATATTATATGCTCATTTCAACAAACGGGCTTCAAATTGACTTTTTCATCTAAAGGACAATGTCGAAAATGGCCCTGTACAATAAAGAGTATCAGAATATACTATAATTAATCCCCTATTTAATTGTATAAGTTGCAAATACTTCTATATCACGGACTAGCTGTTTTCCAAAACGTACTTTTAATAGAATTTAACGCGATTAATAACATTAGATCGCCATCTCCGCCTAATCTTAAATGCCTTCGCCTAATGTAATAAATAAATAAATCAGCAAGTCTTATGTTAAGTCGTGTCGAAACTAAAATAGGGATGTCCAATCAATTATAATCGATTGTTTTTTTTCTTTATGAATGCAGTCATACTCTAATTTAAATAGGTAGTAAATACAGTAATCAAAACCTCTTTACTTCTATACAATCATTCAGACATTCAACATTCGTTCAAATATTAATTGTTATAGTTAGATTATAACCTCAAATTCTGATACTTTTATTGAAATATATCTCTGCAGCTAGTCCGCTATAACAACAAGATCTTCTAGGAGTCTACAAATGATAGAGAATACAATACATATTTATCCGATACTCTTGGCTCCCGGGCCCACAATGTATTGACGCAGAGCAATGTCCTTTAGGAACCGGAATAGCTATTTCATTAATTCTTTTCAATAAAAGGCTGTCAAAATCTACATATCCTAATTTGGTCTTCCCAAAACAGACCGTCTGTCTACCTAAAACTCAACTGGTGATCTTAAAATGAGCATTAAATTAATACACTCGGTCTTTTCATTAAAGACTGTCTTCTATCAATTTCATATGCAAAAAGTAAGCCTTACTCAACTTAGTCTTCTATAAAAAGACCGTCTACTTGGTCTACTGTTCACTTAAATCTCGCGTTTTTAAGTCTTAAAATAACTATCTTAACACCTATAAAAGGCGGTCTACTTAGTAGACCAGTCTACTCAAACCTCACCTTTTAATATCAAAATGTGAATCCAGATGTCTGTTCAGTTTGGTCTTATCGAAGAAGGTGCGCTTACATATGCTACAATCATACAGTCTCTCTTTCATGTGTAGTCGTCTGATGTGGCTAGTCAGGTTCGACGACGTGTAGTAGGACGTACTGCAGTACTCACATTGGTATAGTTTTAGACCTGGAATAGTAAAAAAATGTTTTTTATGGTGCGTGTGTTCTGTGAGTCTGGTGACATGGTAACCCATTGGTTACCATGTCACCAGACTTAGGAAAATGGCTGATGTCCTTCGTGTCAATGTGTTTATATTCTGCGTGTAAGTCTATGGTAACCAGTACTTTTAGCCAAACGTCACCTTAGCGCTTGTCTACAGAGACAGTAGGAAACGAAATGTATGAGGATAACACTGACAAATGTCAAAATTTACGTCAATAGATGACTAATTTTTATTTCAATATCCACCTGGTAGATTATTTTAAAACATTAGACACGTATTTTTTATTTTTTTTACAGCAACGAATACGTTCGACGGTATTTTGATTTAAAATGTCGCATGACTCACTTCTATGTACATTTTGTATGTAAAAATGACTAAATATCATTTTATTATACAACAAAATAAAAAAAATACGTGTCCAATATTTTTTCATTACCTAACTGACGGACTAATTAGATTTTTAATTTTCATACTCTGTCATCATCCCTATTCCATATATGTAATTTGGTTTTCTGCTCTACAAGTAGACAAGCGCTATATGGCATTTGGGTACAGCTGCAGGTGGCACAGCCGTCGTTTCAATACACTGTATCCGCCTTTCTTTCAACATCCTTCTTATATATTATAAATATTTTTATACCTATCACCGATCTCGAAAACGGCTCCAACGATTTTCTTGTTATATTTAATTAGCGGGATTCGAGGGCGATAAATCGATCTAGCTTATTTTATGTAATAGGAGGCAGACGAGCAGACGGATCACCTGATGGTAAGCAATCAGCGCCGCCCATGGAAACCCGCAACACCAGAGGAGCTGCAGGTGCGTTGCTGGTCTTTTAAAAAGGGATACGCTCTTTCTTGAAGGTATGAAGGTCGTATCGGTTCGGAAATACCGCCGACGACAGATCATTCCACAGTTTAGCTGTGCGAGGCAAAAAGTTCCGAGAAAAGCGCACAGTTGTGGCCTGCCAAGCATCTATATAATACGTTACATTTTCAGAAAATATCGTTTACTAAAAAAAAACAGTCTACGCTCGGTCATCCATGTCTTCCCAATAGGGCTGATGCCCATACGAAGCCGCGGAGAACGTAACGGGTTACTGGGGATCCGGCTCGACGTGCAGGAGCAGGAACGGGGTGGTTTTTAGTCAGTAAAAGTCTAACACTCCCTCTCGCCTCACCCAGGCGGGAAAAGTCATTGGATGATTTTCCCCCCTCAATAAAAGGTACTCAGTCTTTGTTATTACATTGTTCTCTCATAATTGAACTCAACGAAAGAATGTAACCAAAAATTGTATTGTGAACATGGTTGAAAAAGAGTAACCTATGGAGTTTCTTGCTCGTTCTTCTCCATAGGAATCTACACTTTGGAACGAGCAAATAGCTTCACTAGAGGACTGACCTACAGACTGACATTCTTTCTTATTATTTAATATTTAAATATTTTGTTTTGACGTTTAAAAGTGCCTTCCTGGTCTAATTGAAACAAATGATTTTGACTTTGACTTTAACTTACCAGCATGTATCCTGACATGTTTGACGAGATCAGATTTATGCCATGTTTTATAGTCGCATTGGTCGCACCCATAGTTCGGGGGCTGATGGGACTTTACATGGGTGTAGTGGGACGCTCGGTGGATGAAACTTTTACCGCAGACCTTGAAAAGAATATACATGTTATTGAGAATATAGGTACTTTTCTTAATTAAAAGTAAATTATTTCGACTGTTTAAAACAATAAATAATCACACTTTCATTAATTGATTTTATGACCAACTTAATTTTAGTATTTTACCAGCAAAATTTTAATACATAAGTATGGTGTTTGACGCTAAAAAACGTGACGTCACAATACACAATCTCGTACAAAATTCATAGAAAACTCTCGTTTTTGACAGTTCGAAAAATGTATTGAATTTGACTAGCTGTAGTTGGCAAATGCTCAATAGGGTAGATGCCTAAGTTTTATTTTAATGTTCGTCTGGTTGATTATTTTAAATCATTGAACACGTATTTTTTATTTTCGTACAGAAACGGATAGTTTCGACGATATATTGATTTGAAATGTCGCGTGACGTCACTTCTATGTACATATTTTATACGTAGAAATGACGGTTTAGCCCCCGCTCCTAAACTTTGATTCGTTTTATATAATTATTGTTTTATTATTCGACAAAATAAATAAAATACGTGTCTAATATTTTTTCATTACCTAACTTACGGACTAAATATATTTTTAATTTTCGTACCCTGTCATCATCCCAATTGCTAACTAAGGAACGCTCACCTCACAAATCCACATATCCTTATGGGCTTGTCTCTTATGATCATTGCTCTGTTCCTTCGTATCAAACTTGAGATTACATACTTCACAGCATAACCTTCTGAATTTGAACTTCCTCAAGGGTCTCGGCTTAGCGTTGGCCCCAGTCGCCTTCCTTGGACGTCCTCTGAATATGAATTAGGAAATTAGTTTTTAAGTACACCACACCTGGGTGCTTACTCTTGAAACCAATCTCAATGTCAATGCAATTTCAATCCAATAAAAACTCAATAATTATTCAATGTCAACACTATACAACCCCTACCGTAGCTGTTGAACTAGCATTCAGAGTATGGAATATAAAGCCAAACTCAATACCATTTAGTTCATTCAATATCCACGCAATACGGATGCAATGGGCGCTAGTGTTGCAACTCTAGAGTACGTCTCAATACCAATGTCGATCGATCGGAATTGGATTCAAGAGTAAGTCCCCTGTACAATGTGGGAGAACCATGCTTCGGCACGACTGGGCCAGCTACCTCGGCTGAGCAGAAAATCGACGTGAAACAACGTTGCGTTGTGTTTAGTTATATACCTCCCCCTCAATCTTCCCAATCTGCCCAACAATCCTCAAACTCCTAATCCCCAAAAGACCGGTAACGCACTTGTAACGCCTCTGGTGTTCCGGGTGTTCATGCCTTACCATCAGATGATCCGTCTGCTCGTTTACAGGCTTATCCGATAAAAAAACATTCATGGAATTCAACCAAACATAGACACAGTAAGGTGTGGAATTCTGTGAGAAGAGTCTGTGTTACCTGAAGGCTATAATTTACGTGTCTTCAAGGCTTGTAAGTAGGCTGCTTATTTATGGGCAGGCCTATTCCACCGTAGGACACTGACAAGACACAGATCTCTAGTGGTAGTAGAGAGAGAAGAGATAATGGCCAAACATGGATCCATTTCAATTACAAAAACACCTGTCAAACACCGCGAGGACACAGGTGACCGCAACCTATTGTTCTTTAAACTGTCAAACACCAAGCGGTCACCGGTGACCGCAACCTATTGTTCTATAATTGTGTCTATAATGACGGTACTCAACGAGTTAAAACTGTCTAACACCGCGAGGACACCGGTGACCGCAACCTATATTGTTCTTTAATTGTGTCTACAATGGCGGTACTCAAAGGGAACCTTATATATTTTTGTAAGAACAAATGTGTCTAGCAATTTGTGGATAGTATAAAAATGAATGCAGTCACCAAATAATTTTTGAATAGGTAATTTTCTAAAAATCGACAATGCAATAAACTAATATTTTGATTAAACTAAAAATCGCGGGTTACTCACGTGAATATACTGAGAAAAGCTCTACTAGTTTCGAACTACAGAGGGGTTCTGCCTCATTCCTCATCAGTAGGCTGCGCGACATCGCCCCGACCGCGCACGCTGCTCGTGAGGAAGAACCCCTCTGTGGTTCGAAAATATTAAACTTGCATATCACATCAAATGATAATTGAAATTATTATTACTATTTTAATAAGACCTCACCCATTTATGGGGGGGGGTCTTGCGAAGTTACCAAAGTTGTGGACTTTTGGTCAAAGCAACCTTGGGGATGATTTGATGATATTTTTATTCTATGGAGTTCTATTACTAAATTACTTAAAATTAACCAATAAAACTGTAAATTAAAGTAAATAAAAGAATTTATGTGCCTGTCTGTACTCATTGAGTACCTACCCGCGAATTTCTCATGCTGCTGACGATACAGAAATCAAGACACCCCATCTGAATAGCTTATTGTGTTGACACAGATTGTCAAGTTGCAAAAATAAAAAAAAAATCATATTTGCACGCCTCCTGATAAAATATGACTGACCATGCAATTTTTTTTATAGCATGAGCCGGTAAACGAGCAAACGGATCACCTGATGGTAAGCAATCGGCGCCATGGATACTCGAAACACCGAAGTGTTACAAGTGCGTTACCGGCCTTTTGGGGATTAGGAGTTTGAGGATCGTTGGGGATTCAGCCGCCGCCGATCGCCGAAGCATGGTAAGATATGACTGAGCTTACAATGTACCTAACTAAGCACCAAATATTATTGTATTACCCATATTAGGAAATAAACTATTTTTATGTTTAAAGTTCAAAAACAATTGCTTACCTAGCTTTTACCTTGATTGGACTACTTTTTCTCAAAACTCCATCCACAATTTCCAACTCATTCTCTATTTTTACATCCTCAAATTCTTTATTACGCCCTTTAACATTGGTTTTCACATCATCTGCAGCCTCTACATCACTCTCTGTTTTCACATACTCCAACCCTTCACTGTCTACGTCATCCTGGATTTCATCTTTAAATGTTAACCGTGCATAAGCTGAATTAGTTACACCTGATTCTGGCACTTCGTCCTTTATTTTTGGTACCAGTTTCTTGTATGTTTCATCTGCTAGTAGACAGGTGGTTTTAAATTTGTATGCTATGGATAGATTATTGCGGCATACCTCACATATTTGTGACGGCAGACCTGCATCTTCTTTGATCTGGAAGTACAGTGAAACTTGGTTAAGTGGGACCTGGATAAGTGAGAAACCTCCATAACTGGAACTCATGCTGAGGTCCCAACACTTTGGCACTGAATTACGTCTGTTAGTGGGACGAGGTAAACCTCTATATCTGGGATTTGTTCTTTCGATTTATCATCATAGTTACCTCTACAACTGAGACAGCGAGTAAATTTTATAATTATGCATAAACCTCTGTAACTGAAATAACATTGTTTGTTTACTCATTCTTATTCTACCGACAAATTTCACTATTAATGGAACCCTCTGTAAATGAGACAGATATTTATTTATACCTGTATATCTGAGACATTGGGTAAGTAGAATACCTCTATAAGTGAAACGACATTGCAGGTCCCTTGTTTGGTTAGAGCAGGTGCTTTATATTTTTAACCTACTTCAAAACGAAAGAAATGGGCGTTCTCAGTTTGACCTATACATAATAACATAATATCGGGCCTTTTATCCCCGGAGGGGAAAGCAGAAGTGCGTTTAATGCCACTGTATAACACCCACTTTTCACCCTTTTTTTGTTATGAGTCCCATGTAAGAAGGGGTGAGCATATTGCCATATACCGGGCACAATTTCAGACTCCGTGTTACTACTGAGAATTTTTTAAAACCTAGTAAAACTTTGTCCGACTCGGGAACCCGACAACCCTTGTCGCACTTGCGATAATTTTTTTGACCTATATGTATGTGACTGATATGATTTTCAGAAAGGTGTTTGATACATTTTTTTTTTAAGCGGGGAAAATCATCGAATGACTGCTCCCGCCTGGGTGAGGCGGGAGGGAGTGTCAGACTCTTAATGACTAAAAACCACCCCCTTCCTTCTCCTGCACGTCGAGCCGGAGCCCCGGTTACCCGTTAGGTTCTCCGCGACGTTTGTTGTTTGTTACTTAGGAGGTTTTAATACATTATTAAACCGACTTAAAAAAGGGGGGATTAAAGTCAGATTTTTTAAACAAAGTTTATAAAAGACACACAACATCACGCCTTATATCCCCGATGGGGTACGCAGAGGTGCATTTTATGGCACTTAAACTGTCAAACACCAAGCAGTCACCGGTGACCGCAACCTATTGTTCTATAATTGTGTCTACAAAACCGGTACTCGACGAGTTAATGTCATTGTACAATGTAACACCCACTTTTCACTATTTTATGTTATGAGTCCCATGTAATAGGTGAGCCTGTTGCCATATACTGGGGACATTACCAGACTACTGAGATCATTTAAAAACTCAGTAATGCTTGCCCAAGCCGAGAATCAAACTCGAGACCCCTTGCCTAGCAGTCGCACTTGCGACCACTCGGACAATGAGGCAGTATTTATAGAAAGAATTGTATAGTATTGAATTTGGATTTCATAATAAATTAAACACTGTCCACATTATAATACAGACATTTAATTTTTATAAACAGTATTTAAATACTCAAAATATGTTATGGAAACTTAACCATAGCTGGGCATTAACTCGTTAATCCGTTAATCGTTAATTAACAAAGTTAACATTTTGATTAACAGATTAACTCTTAAGTATTGTTAAAGAAATAAAAACGGAAAGTTGACCAATAGCGTAATTATCACGGTGTGTGCATAAAGCATGTAGCGCCACTTTCCTTGTACACACGTTGTGTGAATAAAACATGCGAGGGGTTAAATTACAGAATATTATGTTTTATTCATAACCTGTTAACTTCCAGAACCTAAACCAATAAGTTTTTCTAAGTTCACTAACGCAACAATATAAAAATGTAATTTTATACATATAAATGGAATAAAATTAACTGGCGTTAGTTCTTCCAAAATGTAACACTTTAACGTTTAATGTTGCTACCTTTTTTGTAGCGGATTAACAAAGTTAACTATTTGATTAACAGTGCCCAGCTATGAACTTAACACATTGAGTGTCTTATGCGTCAACATCAGAACAATTGGTTTGCAAAAACCAGTCATGCGGAGAGTTAAATCAACTTAAAAGTATTCTTTAAAATACCCTTATTTCAGTTACTGTTCAAGGCTTAAATGGAACATGCTTGTATCATAAGACTATATATATAGATAGGGCTGCTAGTCTAACTTCAATCTAATTGGAAATTAGGAACTAAAACAAAATAGAATATTAAAAAATTATATACTTGCTAGCTTCTTGCTCCTACCATTCACTCTTCTCTGCATCACCCAAAGGTCAGACTGGGAGAAAATGCCTGCGGTATTAAGTCCGCCTTATGTGCATGAAGCATGAATATATTAATAAATATTATATGGATACCACTATCCCTACTTATTTGGGTGATAATTATTAAGTATTGCTACTGCATACATTCAAATGTTTGTGTTATTTATTTTTTGTTCTGGCTGATTTTGGAGGTCAGATCTTATTGGAGTTTGTTTTTACAGTAAAATAGAAGTTAGACTTGTGCTCATTACACAATAATAGTCTATTATTATAATTTAAAAGCCAAAAAACAGTGAAAATTACACTTTTACTTTGATAAATACTTACGGTGATTCCTGTGCAAAAAAGTATTTCATCAACGATATTTTCATTGGCAGTGTCAAATATACTGCTCATATTCAACGTCTGAGTCATACAAATCCTACAGGAGTCAATAATATTGACTACATCAAGTTTAAAAGCAACATCTAGTTGTTCAAGACTTGTTGCATCAACATCCATCATTTTAAATTATATTTTCACCACTTTATTACTAACATATATTTTGTAGCATAAACTAATAAATTAACTTATTAACTCAATAATAATTGGTATTCGAGAACATGATTACTTAACATTTCTATTTATTTTGTTGAGGAAATAAAATGTAAATAATTATCTGTACACTGAAATGATAGGAAGTACGCGTTCCATCGCAGTAGTAAACAATTTTGATCACTGGTTTTAGTGTTTGCTTTCTTTGTATCAGTCACGCTTAGTACAAGAGCCATAAGAAAGAATGCTATCTATCTCTTTCTCCGCCTATGTTTTTGTATGCTATCATGCTAGAAATTTGCGAATCTGATAAATTGGACAGCACAATGATTTTTCCGCAAGAACGTACGTTTTGTTTTTCAATACATGAAAAACATTATGCACTGTTTTTGAGTCCCTTAAAATTTTTGATGAATTTTGCGAATATAGACAGATGAAATGTTCTTTAAATGGCATGAAATAATTAATATTTGGTCTACCATTAAGTAGCGATTGTGATTGTTTGGTATTTATTTCATTTTATCGTCATTATTGTAGTAATTAACATTGATAACTAAACGTACATATGATTCGTTCAAAAATAGAGAAGAGTGATATAAAAATGTGTCTTGTTTCTTTAGGAATTTATTCAATAAGTATCGTATAAAAACAGCCATAGTATTAAAGTATTCACACAATTTGTGGCTTCGCATATGTTTCCATTGTTTAAAGTTGAAATAACAGAAAATAAATAGGTATTGTCGAAACAAAACCGGCTTATTGGTGCAAAACTCGTTTCTAAACTTAATCGGGAAATGGCCGCGCTGCGAACGTCAATCGTGGTGACATCGGCTAGTCGGTCGGTCGTTATATCGTTGAATTAATAATCTTCTGATTACTTATCAGTGATTAATTGTGTTTCTATACCTGTGTGCCCCGCACCGACGCATACCGGTGAGTATTACTTCATTGATTTTGTTTGTTTAAACACGAAAGTTGTTGTGGGTATCCTTATCTAGCTATCTGTATTTTAATGCTGATTTATATGAATTGATGGCTTAAATCCGATAGTAAGCCGATGGTCGCACTCATCACTGATTGCGGCACGATGATAGTATTCAGTAGGTAATTTAGAATTCGTTTAAATCGATGTGAAACTGCCGTTACACTTTTGCGGAATAGGTCGTATAGTTTTCCTTAAAAATAACGGTTTTTATTTTATTATTTTTACGTAAATAGTAGTGCGATATAGTTCCTTTAATATTCTAACTTAAATTGGTATTTTTAAGATACTTTTTCTCGTTGTTTTCTGCGAAAATGTATGCGAAAGTAGGTTAGTATGTTGTTCGAACATTGTAAGTCAATACTATGCGTTTTAGAGTCTCAAGTCGTGTTTATTTAAAAATACGTTGATTTCATTACTTAAATGATTTCTATTAAGTACTATATTTATGAAATTATTGTAAAGAAACTTTTTAACAAATCAAAACCCTCTTGTTTTTATAATATTTAATACATTAAATTAAGAATCTAATTAGATGTTACCCATATCAAGAAAATAATATTAAAAACATAGATTATAAACTTAAAAATTATAACATGACTGATGAAAAGTGCACTGCTACCTCCTTTTGGGATAAAAAGGTGTAAAAATGTTATGTTGTTATGTCAACATTGACTTTAAAAAGATACCTAAAGGGATTCTAATAGGAATATAACTTTCTCTGACATTTTCCACTTAATATGTACTTAGAAAGCGGTTTATAATAAGTAGTACTTGCACTGCAAGTACTGTGCTTATTGGAGGTTTTATACATACATACATACATACATAACTTCATGCCTGTCTTCCATGGGGTTTTTTTTTTCTTAAACTGTCAAACACCAAGCGGTCACCGGTGACCGCAACCTATTGTTCTATAATTGTGTCTACAAAACCGGTACTCGACGAGTTAAGGGGGGAAAATCATCGAATGACTGCTCCCGCCTGGGTGAGGCAGAAGGGAGTGTCAGACTCTTACTGACTAAAAACCACCCCGTTCCTTCTCCTGCACGTCGAGCCGGAGCCCCGGTTACCCGCTAGGTTCTCGGGGTATGTAGTATGGGAGAGATTATGAAGCACCAATTACTATGATTCTTACATACCCCTTTTGGATGGTGATTTCAAATCTTTTATATTCATTTTTATACTTGTAGTAGGTATTCATGTAAAGCTATGAAATGAAAAATGCTTGTCAAGAAAATGATAATATAGATTTGCAGTGTGATTGGAAATATTTATATTAAAACTGACTGACTCCTTATTTCTTGTTAGTTACATTGATCTAGAAATGTGATGTAATTAATTCACTTCCTTGTCAGATTCTTGTTAGAATATCATAATTAGGATACCTAATTGACCAACTTACAATTTCCAATAAGAATCCAGTTACTAAAAGTGATAAGATTTAGTTTTTTTTTTCAAACTACCTTCCTACCCTCCATAGAGTTTTGATAGTTCGAAATTTTTTCTCTAATATGTCCGATTCCATTAGGATATTAAAAAAGTGGCTTATGTTATGTGTACTCCTTAAGAAAAAAAATTATAACAAGAAAATAATTCTTTTATGAACTATGTTTCAAAAAACTGACTAAACGAAAACCTATTGTTTGGAAATTGGTTAATTAATATACTAAAATCTACTCCTAAGGGTACACAAACATTTTTCTGAAAACCGCATCAGAATTGGTTCAGCCAATAGCGAGATAATCATGCACAAATATACATACAAACTGTGAACCTCCTTTATATTATTTTTAAGTCAGTTAATAAAATCTCTCGATCAATATCCTTCATGGTAGCAAGTCTAACTAGACTAGCCCACTATACACGAGATAATTATTATAGTGCGCTAATGTGTATGCAAATGCAAGTGCACTCTCTGTTCCCCCAACCCGATGGGAAAGACATCACGCACAGGACCAATGGCTTAACATGCTTTCTAAGGCACGGGGGTGAAACACTACCGATCTTCCTGACTCCGGACTAATAATGTTTTAGTATGTGCAATGGACATCTCGTTCTTGTCAAGGGGCCATCTATAAATTACGTCACAACTTAAGGGGGAGGGAGGGGGTCGATGAAGTGTGACATTGTATGACAAGGGGAGGGAGGGATCCAAAACTTTGTGTTGTTACATTTCAAAAACTATTATATTCTGCGTTAAAATGCGAAATATAATTGAATTAATGTTTTGTTTTTGTTAATTGATTTGACATTCATATTTTTTAAAGTAATTTAATTGGAAATAAAAATAACAATTGTTTCATATATTATACTGTAATTCTGCAAAATGTGACGTCACACTAGGGGGGGGGGGAGTGTCACAAATGTGAGCTGTGACAAGATGGGGGAGGTGCAAAAAAAAAAACAATTTTTAGACAATTTCTTCCTAGTTTTTCTTTTTCCTTCTTTTTGCCGTTCCACCCTTAGTCTATGTGGCTTGAGGGTAACTGTTTTTTACCTCTTTATACTGCCTACCCTCAATTTATTGACTGTATATACATGATGTAAGGCCCAGTCCCTCATAAGAAGGTATCATAATAAGGTATTCCAGTGGGATAAAACTAGCCTATAAGTTATTCCATACCCCAAACTATCCCTGTTTCAAATTTACAAACGATCCCTTCAGCTGTTTTGACATGATTGAGTAACAACCATTTACACAAACTTATCATTTATATTAGGGATGATGACAGGGTATGACAATTAATCAATCTAATTAGTTCTAAAGTGTGGGAGAGCCATGCTTCGGCATGAATGGGCCGGCTCGACCGAAGCGATACCACGGCCTCACAGAAAACCGACGTGAAGCAACGGTTGTGTTTTGTTTCGTCGTGTGAATGAGGTTACCGGAGGCCCAATTTACCCCCCCTTTCCCCAATCTCCCCAATCCCCCCCAATCCTCAAATTCCCAATTCCCAAAAGGCAGGTAACACACTTGTAATACCTTTGGTGATCCAGGTTGTCCATGGGCGACGCCGATTGCTTACCATGAGGTGCTCCGTCTGATCGTTTACCGGCCATAAAAAAAAATTGTTACGTAATGAAAAAATATTAGACTCATATTTTTTTTATTTAATGGTATAAAAAAACAATACTTAGATAAAACGAATCAAAACTAAGTAGTGGGAGCTAGCTACGTCATTTATGAGTATAAAACGTACACGAAAGTGACGTCACGCGCTATTTTAAGTCAATATATCGTCGAAAGTATTTGTTTCTGTAAGAAAATAAAAAATACGTGTCTAATGTTTTTAAATAATCTGCCAGACTGACATTATAATAAAAAATAGTCATCTACCCTATTAGTAGGATTAAAGCTATTTGATGCAGAAATATAAAACAATAGAAATATAAAACGTCATACATACGTTGCAGTCTCATACAAAATTCATTCATCACGAAAAAAAAAAGTATTGAATATAACTAGTTTTTTTTGTATGAGTGACGTCGGCGACAATATTTCAGTCACCAACAACTAACCAACCACCCACCAACCAACCAACTAACTAGCATTCCTGCACAATATTTCATCAGTAATGGAGAAGTCAAAGTCAAAATCATTTATTTCAATTAGGCCAAAATGGCACTTTTGAACGTCAACAAAAAAAAAAGGATATAAACTATCATTATTCACACATGTGTTGTCAAGACTATATTTTGTGGGGGTAGATCCTAATTGAAAGGCTGTATGAAGGATTACAATAGAAGCCATTTGAAGGTAAATAGATTCAAATTGGAATGACGGTAAAAATTCTCGAAATCTGAATAGATCTTGATTTTTTTCGATCTTGAAATTCTATTAACTTTAAACTTAATTTTGGCTATAAAGCCAATGCGAGTTTTATTTATATGTATTATTACTTAACTAGCTGTTGCCCGCGACTTTGTCCGCGTAGGATTTGAATTTTAGAACATAACGTTGCTTTTTATTTCGATTATCCAAAATAAAAGTAGCCAATGCTGCTCCTTAGTACATCAGTTACCTGCCGATACAAGGCTTGCAGAATTCGTCTAGCTATTCCAGAGATTAGCCAGTACAAACAAACAGACGGATAGACAGACAAAAAATAAAAAAATGCTTTCGTATGTGTATCGCATTTATGCATAACAATATTAAAAAGCTATTATTTTAATATTACAAACATACACTTAAATTTTATTTATCTGTATTTACTATAATTACCTTTATTATGTAAATCAGGGCTGTCCAAATCATGTACCCTTGCGGGCTAATTAAATTTCTTATAAAAGCTGGGGGGCCAGAAAAATATTTTCAGTTGTATAATGACATTTAACATTGTATTATACTCACAGACTAAACTTTTATACAAATCTTACATTAAATTTTATTATTATTGTTGCACATAAGATGAAGATGTTGAGATCGTCGAAATTATGTGTCGCGGGCCACATGAAAATAAGCCACGGGCCTTTGTTTGCACAGCCCTGATGTAAATAAATGCAGACATTATATTTTTAGCTAACCAACAGCATTAAGATAGAAAAACGTCTCTAACTTTACAAAATTATATTTTATATTCATTAAAGTTAAATTTAAATTCAAGTTTGTTATAATACATAAGATAAACTCTATTTTTATCAACTTAATGATTCACTTATGTTTAAATTATTCATATTTTAAGTAGTAAACTATATTTAGCATTTAGCAATTATTATCAATGAGATTTAGGACACAGCTTAAGGTAATCGCTTCTTGAATTACCAATCATATTAAGGCTATGAATCATAGATAGTCAAAACAAAAGAAA